GCGAGAAATGACCAGACATTGCGAACGCACGTGGAGAGTGTATCAGTTTGAGGAGCTTGTTGGCCGGGCGACGGTCCACTACCAGGCGCACTCTCGACGGCTAACTGATCCCAAAGAAAGCGACATTGCCGTTGCCCTTAGCCTCTTCTACCATGTCATTCCCCGCACAATCTCCGAGCATCCTTCGAGCTGCTGGCACGCACTCGGCGAGAGCGGGAGGGAGCGGGTGTGCGGTGGCGTCGCGCTTTCCACCCAGTCGAGTTGACGTAGAAGGATCGGCATCGGCAGCGCAGGGCCTTGGATGTGTACTCTCTCGTCAGGTGGGGTCTTGACAAGGGCAGGTCCAGGGCGGCTTGTTGACCGTGTTCTGAAGCGCCCGCACCCACACGCAACCGCCCCCCACGCTCTCCACGGAAGCGAAGGGGTAAATGTGTTTGGCCTGCTCGGATTCAAGGGTGTGACTGGCCGTGAACGGCTCGGCGACAACTTTGACACACGCGGCCATCAAAGTGTGCCTGACAAACGGGAACGCTTTTCCGCCGACCTTCAGCACATTTTGACCGCCCCGGAGGTCGATGCCATGCGCTGGAGGGATGAATGTACAATTGATTAAATACAGTTTACAGAAGACCCCAATGCGCACGGCGCAGGTACGGTGAAATGAAGGCTGTCTCAAGCTTTACGCCATCACCCCCGCATCGGCAACTTGTCGATCGTGACATCGGCGACTTTTGCTTGCGCTTCTTTCTTCCCGGCGATTTCTACTAAGGAAAGACGACAGGAGAAACTGTAGAAAGCCTTCGCACTTCCAAGTTCGCATCGCTCTTCATACTGGCGCTTCTTCGCTCAAGCGCATTTTGTGCTCCGGAGTCCCGAACTTTCATTGGAGGTCTGATTGACTCGTTGTTCAGGATGCTGCCGTCACTAGCGGTGCGGGCGCGATCGGCCTGGAAAGGTGCGCTAGTGGCTCATCGCTGGAGAGATGCATAGTCTGACCTCGAAGCTGACCTCTTCCCTTCGTCCGCCAAAACCATTGCCTCCCACTCGGTGCTCGCTTGATACGCCTATTTCCGGTTCTATTTGATATTGTCTGTATAGGTCCGTTTTTCGTCGCCTTTCCGAACCTGCAAGAAGCATTTAAGAACAACACACCGATCAGGACAAACGCCAGAGCTTGCACCATCCTGCCGAATTTCGTTGGGTGAGACTCCGGTACTGTTCTAGATACGCAGGATGTATCATGATGCCGCGGCTGACGCTTCGTATCTCCTCGTCCACGTTCCTGTCCGGCTGTATGTGATGCTATCTCTCGTCTAACAACACTGCTGCACGCAAACGGCGATCGCTTCGCTTTATCACAGCCTCAAGTTCCTCGTACACAACGGCAAGCACCACATCCCCGTCTCGATCACAGAAGAGATGGTTGGGCACAAGCTTGGTGAATTTGCGCCGACGCGGAAGCGATTCAGCTACAGGTGCGCTTCCTCTCGCCAGGTCTCTTCCCCCTCTCAAACCCACCGCCTCCGCAATTGCGAGCGGCAGTACAAACTCTTTGCTCTCTCTGCTGAACCAATCACTGATCGTATTGCTCTGCTTCACTCTGCGCTCTATTTGCAGGCAAACGAAGAACAAATAAATTCAAGCGCTTCCTCTGGCTACTCTCTTGCTGGCCCTCCCGGCATCGTCTCGCGCGTCCTCGTGTCCGAGGAATTGCTGGTGTTGTCGATGGTCATGCGTTCGCCAGTTTGACCTCACATCTATGAAGTTAGTTGTATTCTTTCCACTGTCTCCAACTGTATCATACGGGAACTCCATCTGGTCGCTGATGACCTTGAGAGTGGAAAATCCTACTCCGCCGACGAGAGAAAACAGCGGGGTAATGTTTTGAAGGGCATCCTATGACTGCAGCAAGCGAAGAGATGCCTTCCTTAACAAGCGCGCTGAAACACCAAAAGCGTCGAATCTCTCGTGTTTCTCTCTCAACCTGCTTCCCTACAACCTGTTGCGACATGCTCACGGGCTTTGCACGTTTGGGGTTCACTCTCGCGTTCACGAACCACGCTCCCCCTGCACTTAGAGACTGGGCAGGGAACAGAAGAGCAGGTGGGTTGATATTCTTTCTTTTTTCCCGGCACGAAGATGCTGAAAAGAAAAAACTGCAGCACTCGGAGTTCCGCCCTCCTCAGATTGTCGTATCGAATGCCGATGATCAGCACACAGACCCCTGAGAAAGAGTCGTGTGGAGACAAGAGAAATATGGGGGGCGCGTTGTCCATAAGAGAGACCCATTATAGCATGCCTGCCTTTGGGGTATGGATACGTGTTTCTCTCTATTTCAGCTCACATCCGCGCGTGGTGCTCAGAGGAGCAGGATCGGAAGGAGGCTCCTTGTAGCTGACTGCTAGCCCTTTAGGCTTTACCTTGAGCCGTGGTTGACGCAAGAGCTCAGTGTGCTAGCGCCTCCATCCGTCCGTCTGTAAACCTTGGCGCGGCTTATACCCTCGATCTCGGCCTTTACGACTGACGCTTAAGCTTTACGCATATTAACGAACTCAAACGACTGCCCTTGCCTTGGAAGCTCTGTGCCGGCACCATCTTTTGCGTCTGGACGGACCCAGGACGCTTTTCACGAACGACTCACGATCCAATTGTACACCTCCCTCTGTAGGAGACCTGCATCTACGCTGCGCAGTACAACAAAGACGTGGCGCATCGTCTAAACACCACCCATACCGGCAAGATGAGCGGCCAAAGGCGGCTCTCTGCCGATTCTGCTGGTGGACAGCTCGCCGTGGCTCTTACCGCAGCGGGACACAAGCAAGGAAGCCAACCGGCTTCTACGCAGGACGCATTCATGACCCTCGTCCACTACGACATGAACCATCGCAAATCCCTCGAACATTCTTCCTTCAAACCGCATACTCATCAGCAACATCAGCAGCAGCAACAAAAACAACAGTGCACATATGCAAACAGCAACGACATCCAGTCATCTTCATCCCCTGCATTCGCATCCGCAGGCTATGGTGGCACGGGCTCCTTCTCGCCCTCCTCACACGCGCAGTTCTCTGCCGCCGCGAACTCGTCTACAAGCAGAGGCAAGGTGCGCCAAGCCGCTCTTGTGATTGACAAGGCGGAGCAGCAAGCGCGGGCGAAAGCGGCAAAAAAGAGCAAAAAGGATGCCAAGAATGAGAGGCGCGCCGAAGCGACAGCCAGCAAGGCGGAGAAGAGACGGATCAAAGCTGCTCGGAGAGAGCAGAAAAAGGACCCGATTCATGGTGACGCACTGCCACACATGCCTGATACGATCCTTGACGGAGTTGACAAAAGTGGATTGCCAGGGGATCGGTACACGGCCTTGCCTACTCGATCCACTCGGAGCTCCTTAGGAAAGGCCGGCTACGACGAGGGATACTACGACACATTGGCCGACCCTTTGACCCCCATGGCGCTCAAAGGGGGCAATGCCGTACTCGTCGACCGGGAGATGAAACGACTGCGCGACGCAGGCGTCAAGGAGCTCCGCATGCGCTGGCGCATGTGGACAGGCGCTTTCTCGCTCATCGTCCTAGCCATGACGACGTACTTTATGGCGCGCTACATTATCTCCTGGCTCAACCTGAGCCCGGGCACAATACCGCTCAGCAATGCACCAGCTGGAAGCCGAACCCCAATTGATGAGCTGGCCAGGCTACTCTGTCTTGTCGATTTCTCCGCTGCTGCTGGGAGCATTGCCGGCATACTCGCAGTGGTGGTCTACCTTCGAGCTGTAAGTCCAAGCTCACTGTGGCGTACGGCGAGCATCCATATTCAATGTATCACACACTTGCAGACCCGCCGCCGGACATGCGGCTTGGCCTTTGCTTGGTTCTGCGCCGTCCTATCCACGACGTTGCAGCTCGCTTCTGCCGCTGCCAACCTGGCGCTGATCATTCTCTGGCATAGGCAGTATACTGTGGGTGGTCCGGACGCCTCGTCGCCCCAAGGTGCAACGCGCGACGTCGGTCGGCGATGTGCAGGAACGTGGGACTTTGATCTGCTCTGGAACGCCTCCGACGCGTCGCCGCTCAGCACCGATGCCCAGGACTGCAAACCGGGCGGCCAGGGTGGTAAAGCGGCTGTCAAGATGTTCGTCGTCGCAGGCGGCGTCCGACTCGGACTGATCGTTATTTTCTTTACGCTCTGGCTCATCGCACTCGCACGCTACAACCACACACTCGAGAAGGGTGTCCAGGAGATCGGAGGCGTCGAGGAGAGCGCAGAGATGCACCGCTTGCTTGAGGAGGAGATGAAGCATGGCGTCAACGGGCCCGGCAACTTTGATGAGAAGACGCTCACCAAAGCGGACGTGCAGCAGTACGCAGCGTTCGTCGAGGAGCGCTACATGCCTGAAGCAGAGTACGAGGTGCGACGCGACGACGCGACGACGGAAAAGGTGTCCCACGCGCACTCATCCACGCAGTCTCACAGACGCCTCGATTCGGAGCGCACACAGATGCTGGCCATGGGAAACTCGCCTCCGCGTCTCGACCGGTTCCATTGGCAGCGCGGTGAGGCATCCACAGCTACCGCAGCTTCTGCCGCCTGTGGTGGTGACTATCGCAGTGTCCCTGTCAACGAAGCACACGCCGTCGATGACTATCCACTCTACCTTCATTCCACTGAGCACCACCTGGGCCATGGCGAGCGTGAGCCTAGCAGCTTGCTTGCCAAAGTTTGGGACTCGCTGTGGGGCACCAGCGCGCATCCGCATACCGACCTACAGCGTAACGGTTCCAAGCTCGGCGTTAGCGGCTGGTTCCACGGCCGAGAGCCCACGATGGATGTGGGGAGTGAGGCAGCGTCGCGCGCCACTTCTGTACGCAGGAGTCCGAACGCCTATGACGTCGATGAGCGGCACCAACAGGCTCAGAGCAGCTCCAATACGGCTGGCCACAAGCGGACACCAAGTCAAGAGCGGCGCGCAGCAGCGGCCAAAGCGATGGCCAACGCCGGCCACACAGCCGCCGGCGATGACCTGCCGCACATGCCCGAAGTGCAGTCCATCACCGCGCACGAGATCTTGCATCAGACAAGGCACTACGCAGCCAACAGCACTTGGGGTTCTGACGACTCGACCGACTCGGCCAACAACACCAGCGGCGACCGCCTGTCCGTCGATGCGCGGAATGAGCACGTCCCACAGTATGTCCGCACGCTCGGCAAGCTCGTGCGCAAGCTTTCCGCCATCGAGAGCGTCGGATCAGCTGAGCGTGCCGATCGATCTGAACGCACCGATAACAGCCAGGGCCACTTGTCCAACCGTTCCAGCGTGCTTTCGCCATCGATCTCCTCGAGCAGAGGTGTAGGTGGCGGCAACGTCATAGGCACTCACACAAAGCGTGCGTCGTGGAACGCCAGCCACGGCACTCGTTTGGAAAGCACTAGCGAGCTTCCAGACGAAAATGGCTCGCCGGAGCGCCATGTGACAGCCTCGCTCGTCCCGCATGCACAGCACGTTGATCGCGAAGGCAGCGCAGCCAGCAATCACGCCCCGTTCCCAGGCGGCTGGGCGTGACGGGCACTCGAGGAACTTAAAGCCACCCCTTCACAAACCACCAACACGGCCTCTAACATCATGAATGGACCTTACGTTCGACGCATTTGACGACCCGGAACGAGCTTTCCCCACAAATTGTAACGCTATCTTTCATCTGCTCTGCAGCGGGACATGCTATATATCGGCTCCTCACATGTCACCAATTGTCATTTTCTAGAGCGGGACTATATACCGCATATTTTTCATTAATGCAAGTAAGGGGAGCTCCCTTACAGAATAGGGGAAACGGTGGAATGCAAGTTGTGCTCAGCTCCAGCATTCTTCTTGCAGGCGTCTTTGTGCTACCATGGCCTGCAGGAACCTCGCGGCCTGTTCGTCGTCCATGTCGGCTTCTTGTTTGCAAACCTCCCGGAGCGCCTCGCGCACCGCCTCTGGCATCTTGCCGGACGAGCCCGAGATGAGCACGTATCCGCCTTGTTCGCCAATATGCCTCCACAGGAGTGCGCTGTCCTGCTTGATCAGGTCTTGCACGTAGAATTTTTCGCCGGATGCGCTCTCGCGTGAAGCGGCCAAGCGCCACTCCAGAAAGCCCAAACGCGACCAGCGCTGCCATTCCTCTGCGAACAAGAAATCCTTCTGCGAATGTCGGAAGCCGAGGAAGATGCGGTTTGCAGCTTCCTTTGCGCCATGCCCTGCAATGGCCTTCCCGTTCGTCTCATCATGCTCTTTAGCTTCGACCACTGTACATGAACACTCGCGCTCACGGCTCAAAAGCCTCTGCTGTAAGAAGGCCCTCATCGGCGCCACGCCGGTACCAGGACCGATGTACAGGACGGGTGTGGTATCGTCTTGAGGGAGTCGCATAGTACCCTTCTCTATCCGATATGGGATCTGATCAGCTGCAGCAGTCCCCACTTCGAGGGCGGACAGCCAAGCCGTGCAAACGCCTCTCCTCGGTTCGCGGAGACGCGTCTTGTACTTGACGATCGCCACTGCGAGTTGCACTTTATCTGAGCTACGTTTATTCGCAAGCGAGGCACCCTTCCCTTGTTGCCCTTTTCCAGATTTCTGAAAGTCGAGATACTCGGCGCTGGAAGCGATGCTGAATTGCCGTTCCCTCGTGAATGGCACGACTTCACAGAGCCGCTCCAGGCCAAAGTTGACTGATTGAAACTCTTCCAGAACTTCCAAGATGGTTCTTCTGACGCGCATAGCATAGTCGAACATGTCGTCCGCACCCTCACCAGGCGTGCAGTACTCGTCCAGCTTCTCTCGTTCCATTGAGCCAGCGGGACTGAATTGGCGTATGGTGTGGAAGAAAGAGGGCCGTGGGACTGAGCATATGTCCAGATGTGACTTGACAAGATCGCTGAGCTTCAGTCGGCGTGGTATATCGGGCGGGAGCTTGCGGGCTGTTTATTCGGAAGCGAGACAATCAGAGGAGTTCACACCCGTACAATTGACCATTCAGACTTACTTTGCGAAAGACATTCCAACTGTACAAGTTCCTCCTTCATATTCGACCACCCCATGCGAGCGAAGAAACGGTCCACATGTGCATCTGAATTATGCGCCTTCACGCAAAATATGTCGCCTGCTTCGTACTTCATATCTGAGTAGCACTCTCCTCCGCTTTTGTCGTGTGAATTCATTTGCAACCATCTGCACTCACGCTCGGGATCATCGTTTGAGTTGAGATCATCCGAAAGACTGCGCCATCCGACGTGCTCGAACTCAAGTAGCCGAACATCTTGCCAATGGTCTCGCGCAGTCATGCGCTCGTTGCGCGTGAGTCGTGCGAGGCCCTGCCGTACCTTCTCCTTCCCATTGCTGGTTGCTGATCCGTTAATGGCGGAAGCATTGCTTGTCTGCCCAGTCGCCAGGCTATGGGACAATAGGCGCACAGTTATTTGCGGGGGTAGAAGCTCATATTCTGGAATCTCCTTGAGCGACGTGGGCAACACGAAATCAGATTGGAGTTGAGTGAACAGCGTCTGGAGGAAAGGCACGAGAGCACCTTCAATTCTGTGCGTCGGTTTCCCAAAAGGATCAGCCTTAGTTCGAGTATCATCCTTTGACAAATCTGGGCATCTACGACTTACCCCATTGGATGCTGGTCATCAGCATCCTCGCCCTTGACGTATTCTACGGCGCCCAAGCTTTCGAGCCGCCGCCTGAGCAAGCGAGCCGGCCAGCAGAATTTGGCATAGCTGCTGTCACCAAGGCCAAAAACGGTGAAGTTGAGGTCGGACAGAATATCTACTGGGAGGTCTTTGCGCAGGAGAAAGCGCCAGAATGGGCGCGCAGAGCTGGGGAAATCTCCTAGTCCGGTCGTTGAGATGATGAATATGACCGGTTGAGGCTCCTCGACAAGCTCGGTCTGTACGTGAGATAGTGTGGCGTCAACAATCATGACAGGAAGCGAGAGTTCTGCCTCATAATGGCTTCTACAACGCACCACATCATAGTCAGCGATATCTAGTACCTGTGCACCAAAGCGCTTTCGCCGTGCCAATTGTGCAATACGATCCGCGACATCCTCTGCATTACCCGTCTGCGAGGCGTAGATTACCTTAACCCGTCTCTCCATGATCGCTCTCGCATCTGCGTCGTTTAGGGGTGGCGCAGCCGCCATGATGCTCAACCCTTGCAGTGGCGCACTGTCTTAGTAGCGATCAGACGGCTTGCAAGAAACTTCTCTCGCAAGCATGGCACTGGCGATGCTGACACCATTCACTGCAGATGTCTGGTAAAATCGATAGGATGACCAGAGCATCGACCAAAAGTTAGGATGGCCTCGGCGACTTTCCTTATCGTCAACGACAAGACACCGACAAGATCGAATGATGACGATGAGAGTTGCACGGTGCCCGTGCAATCAGTAACCCTAACCCTCAAACCGAACCCCTCGGCAACTTTATTGTAACAGCAGCAGGACTGCATGGACTGATGACTGGGCGCACACAGATAGGAAAGTGACGACTCTTACGGGAGCATGCAGCGGTGCCTGCGCGCCCGACCATTCGACATTGCCGTGCCAGATCCAAAACGTCTCTGCGGCCAACAGGACGGGTGTGTGTGACTCGCCCTCAGCTTCCAGATCCGTGGCATAGATTCGGGTTTGATGAGGGCAGTGCTCTCCTACTTCGAACCAATTGGCGGGAGGGTTGTCCGCTCCGTGCTCAACCTACAGCCTGTTTCCACGCCACAGCGAACTGCGCTTGCAGTTACACCGTTTTCCAGACCCGGCACAGTATACTTTACAAGCCGGACAATGTCAACTTCCTTGCCCAAGGGGCATCAAGCCAAGAAGGTTGTGCCGTACGGTCGCTGGCAGTCGCCAATTTCGCCAGACCTACTTGTGCAGAAGAATATACGGTTTTCGGAGACTTGCTCCTTTTATCCTCTGCTTGCCAGCTGCACACAAACCACTGACGCTCCGGCTGACATTCTATTCACCGAAGATCGGCCCAGCGAAAAGGGACGTGCTGCCCTCATTCGCGCGTCCACATCAACAGGCGCATCCCCATCCTCGTCGGCGAATGATGTGACCGGTGGAAAGTACAATGCTCGAAGCGGGGTGCACGAGTATGGTGGAGGTGCCATGGGCGTGGGTAGCGATGGCAGCATCGTATTTACGGACTACAGTCCCAGCAAGTGCGATGTATACTGTATAACAAATGTCGAACAACAGCCAGTAAAAGTGTCACCGGGTAAGTGTTTGGCTTAACAGTGCTTTCAAAGTGATGGCATGCTCCAGTTACCAATTTGCCGACACATACACACTTGTTCAATAGACAACCCAGCGCACCGATTCGCAAGTTTCCAACCCCACCCTACGCACCCACACCTCGTCCTATGTATCCTTGAAGACCGCACGGTTGATACGCCATCCACAATCGTCAACAGCCTCGTACTTCTCGATACGTCCACGTCCAAAGTGCAACAGCTCGTCTCTGGCGCCGACTTTTACGCGTTCCCAAGCTTCAATCCAGCTGGTGACAAAATTGCTTGGGTCCAATGGAATCACCCCAGCATGCCATTTTGGAGCACGGAGATCAGAGTCGCAAGCTTCGACGTGCAGGCCAGACATATTGTCGGGGAGGTCGCTGGGATCGCGAAAGGCCTCGCACAGAAAGGAAGTGATGACGGCGAAGTCATGCAGCAACCAAAATGGATGCCGTTGTTCGGTGAAACGGTTCCTGCTGCCTCTCCAGAAACCCTCTACTTCACCTCCGACCGTACAGGCTTTGGGAAAATATACTCGGTCAGAATCCAATATGCTAGCAAATCAACGCGACTAAGCATTACGGAACCAGAGCTTGTGGCGCATGGCTCGACTTTGAAGAAAGGCGACATGCAACAGCCTGCATGGTCTCTGGGGACATCGACGTATACAATTCTCTCGACCGAGACAATCGCTGTCATCATTACCCGTGGAGGCCACAGCGTGCTGGGGCTCATCGACCTACCTAGCAAGAGCTCCCTAGTGGTTGATTCGGCGTTCGCGACACTGAGCAGTATTTGTGCCACATCTGCGTCTTCCATCGTTGTCAACGCCTGTTGGCATGATAAACCCGGTGCGCTTGTGGCCGTAGACTTGAAAGCTGCGATCAGTGCGCTCAAGAAGGGCAGTGAATGCTTTAAACTGGCGGAGCATGACATCCATGTCATCAGACGCACGAGCAACATCGTTCAAGACGGTGTCGTTGGCAAGGAATGGTTCACAACATCCGAGGAAATTGAGTTTCCTACTACCTTGCCCGTGAGGAACTTGCCACTGCCGATCAACTATGCATTCACTGACGGTTCCCTCTGAATTCAGAATGGCAAAGTGGCAACTGCTCATGCGGTCATCTTCCCGCCTCACAGTCCTGATTTCGAAGCACCGCCAGGAACGTCGCCGCCATGCCGCATCGCTGTCCATGGAGGACCGACAGGCGCGGCTCAAGCGGGCCTCAATCTGGACATCGCTTTCTGGACATCTCGAGGCTGGATGGGTCGGTACTCCGTGCAGCTCGAGCTTGCTTGACACGCATACTGACAATCAGGGTTTTAATCTATCGCACACACAGTCTGCTATGTTAACTATGGTGGCAGCACTGGTTACGGTCGGGATTACATGAACAGGCTCACGGGCCAATGGGGTGTGGTGGATGTCGAGGACTGCGTTGCAGCCGCCAAGTACCTCGGCTCAGCGTCAAGCGGACTCGATGCAGCGACAGGAGCAGCCACTTCGTCACAGAAGGTTCCAAATCGCGAAGCGATCTACGAAGCACCTACGGCCAAGGCTCAGCTCGAGTGTTTCGAGACGAAAGCATTGCCCGACGGCAGCGTCGAAGTCAGCCTACGGAATCACAAGCGTGACTGGGGCATCTTCAGCATCATCAGTGGACTGAGCGCAATTGCGCTCGGCGCATCAGCTGCAATGCTACTCTTCCGCGACACCTGCTCATCCGTCGGTCGGCGGATGGCTCAAGGAGCATTCTCACTCGCAACGGTGATTGCGGTGATCAAGGCACGTAAGGTGCAAAAGGAGGTCGTCAAAGCCATTCCGGGCCTCGGCCTGCAGCGCGAAACATGGCGTGGGCTCCGATGGCCATGGGCAGATCGTGCGGATGCTGCATTTCGTGTCACCGCGGTCAGCTTGTCGTTCACACCTCGTGATCGCATGGTGGATCTGGTCGTCAACGAGGCGCTAAAGGGCTGGTCCGTACATACCTATGTCGCGGCTATCCTCAAGACAGGCAAACTCGTGCCTCTCTTCCCAGTGAGTGCACTATTGAACTCGTCTCTACTTGCATTTTGGGGCTCATGCTTGTTTGAATGTCTTCAAAGAATTTGCAACCACGTCTGCCGCTGGTCAAACGCATCTACCAAGCCGTCTATCCGGCGCTGTTCCCTTCTGCCTCGCAAGGGCCAGGGATGAAGAGCGGCACATCATTCATACCGCGAGCTGATACAAAGAAAATTGTCATTAGCGGCAGCAGTTCGGGGGGCTACACAGTTCTCGCTGCTCTATGTCTTCATCCAGAGGTATTTTCGGCCGGAACATCGCGCTACGGCATCTCTGAATTGACCGCACTCGCGCACGACAGCCATAAGTTCGAGAGCCGGTATTTGCTGGGCCTGCTGGGAGGCTCGCCAGAGGAGGTCCCGCAGATCTACCACGATCGATCACCGCTGTACATGGCCGACCGGATCCGCGCACCGGTGCTTGTACTGCAAGGCGATCTAGACAAGGTGGTTCCGCCTAATCAGAGCGAGGAGATCGTCAAGACGATGGAAAAGAACAAGTGCAAGGTCAAATACATCCTCTTTGAGGGGGAAGGGCACGGCTTCCGCCAGGCAGAGAACCAGAAGAGAGCATTGGTAGAAGAGCTTAAGTGGTACGAAGACATGCTGGGGATCAAGTAAATCAATGAACAGATGCGGTTCAATTGTCATTACGAAGCTAAAAAATCCAAGGTGTAAAGCGCAAAATCCGCTAGATGGAAACGCGAAGGCCGCACGTTACTTTACTTGAGGATCTTGCCGTCTGCCCACTCCTTGCCGTTAACGGAGGCCTCCCAAGCGAGCATGTCCTCAAAGAACTTCTTGTCCTCGTCCTTCTTGAGGTCAAGAGGCGAGACGGAGTAGCTCTCCAGGTCCGGGGCGACGCCAAGGACGGGCTGGTACTCCTTGCCACGGCAGATGACGACACCGGCGATGGCACCGTCGTTGGCCTTGCCGAAGACACCGGCAGTACCCATGACGTACTTGCGGGACGCCTCCTGTTGAATGCCAGCGAGGGACCAACGGGGTCAATCTCTGCTGCACGACTTATAATAGTGGGGACCAGAACTCACAAGACGGTTGAAGAAGCCGCCAATTTGGTTTGCAGACATGAAGATCTGGGTGAGCTCCTATTGTGACAGAAATAATCCAATGTCAGCCAAAGATATTCATAAGACCTGAAGATGGAAAGATCAGAATCGAATCGTTGATGCCATGACGCCAGCGCGAGGCTAACGAAGGCTCTAATACATGCTTTGATTTATATAAATTCATCACGTTACACTCTCTCACAGCAAAAACTTTACTCACCTCGTTGTACTTGAAGTCAAACCGCCAGACTGAGTATCCGTCGTAGTCGAAGTTCTGGAAGAACCACGGGAGGGCCTCCTTGCGGGTGTCCTGGTTTGAGTAGACGCGCTTCCACTCGTCAAGGATGAAAGGTGATTTGGGGAGGTCGTCGAGCGGGTTCTTGACCTTTGGCTCGGCGGGAACAAGGGGTTCTTCATCGTCATCGTCATCGTCCTTCTTCTTCGACTTTGACTTCTTGGCAGATGCGCCCGCAGCGGGGGCGGCAGCGGCAGCGGCAGCAGGGGCAGCCTCCTTCTTTGGTGCAGTGAACTTGAAGTTCTCCTTGAGGAGCTCGGCCTTGGATACAATGTCCACGATGGTCGGTTGGCCGAACACAGTGTTGAAGTAGCGTGTTACGTTGGGGTATTTGTTGCGAACGCCCTCACCCGCAAGGGAGGTGAAGAGCATTCTGAGGTTTCCGGCAACAACGAGGTCGGCGAGAGAAACGCGGTGGCCAACAAGGAAGGTGTTCTTGTTGAGGTAGTTGTTGAGGTATGTGAGAGAACGGTGAATGGCCTCCCATGCGGAAGCCTCCGCCTCCTTGTTGTACGCCCCGAATCCAAAGCTGGGCAGGAGAATAGTAAGGCCCTTGTTGAAAAGCTCCTCGTCGCCCCAGGAGCTCCACTGCTGAACTTGCGCGCTGCTCTTCTCGTCGGCGCCGAGTAGGTTAGCGTTCTTCGCGTACGAAGCAACTGTACGATGGTACCAAAATGAACATGTTAGCATGTGGCGCATTGCGAGACTAAGGCCTGCAGTCACAAGTTTTGGACCCCCTTTCTCCATCGCACCAATACCAGATCATGAAGAGACAGCTCAGCCGCATTTTGCGTCAATTTGTTTCGACACAGTGATTAAGTCAGGGATAACGTATGTAAACATACCATCATCGCTGCCTCTTCTTTCCTTTCCCTTTAACAGCGTTACATCCGTAATTATACGTTGAGATTGCATAACTTACCATAGCGGGCAATGGCCTGACTCTCAGTCAGAAGGAAGCCGTCAGCGCCCTCGAAGGCAGGGATCTTGCCCATAGGGAACTTGGCAAGGTACTCTGGCTTTCTGCAGTCGCCATCGCGAAGAGAAGCCCTGACGAATTCGAGCTCCACACCAGCGTACTTGGCGGCAGCGAGCGACTGTACGGTACCAGGTATTCAGGGAAGGTCAGATTCAGAACTCTGGTAGATACAGATACCAGACATGAGACGCGATGCGCAGTAAGCGCCAAATTTGCGCACAGATGTCACTCACCCTCCAAACCTTGGGGCTCTCGGGGGCACCGCCGTAGATCTTTCCAATGACAGCCATATTGACGAAGCTTATTATGCGGTTATTAAGCCTGCGTCTGTGGACCACGCTTAGGAAGTAGCAAAGGTAGGCGTAGTCTGAGAAGGTTCTGAGTTAGGAAGGGGAGATGAAGGAGGGAGAAGTGCATAGAAGAAGTTGCACAGGCCACCTGTCGAGTGGCAACGCCGCCGCCGCCACTGTCACCACAAATTTTTTGCATTCGGCTTGTGTGTGCAGCAACGTATGTGGGCATCGTGCAGACCGCTGAAGTGCATGCCTGGCAAAGTAGGTCACGTGACCTCATTTCGCACGCGCCATTAACAGAAACGCGTTCCCATCAACTCATCACTCGACACGACCAAAACGCCTTGCCGTGCACCTAGATGAGGCAATATTCGCTCTCGACTTCTTTCGCTTCAGCATAGTCACTGCTCTCCTTGTCCTTCATCCTTACAAGCAGAGCTCTGGATTGATGTAAACTCCGTGTGTCGACACGGCCTCTCGGTGTCTTGCACCTTCCGTCCCACGATGGCCACTTTGGGAGTGGAGGCCGCAAACGATGGCTTCGTCGTCATGCGGCCACAGCCGAACGGTGCGTCAGACGACCACAGTTCATCTTACTCAATCTCTCCGAGCACATCGAAGCAGTTCCTTGTGAAGCCGAAGAAAAAGCGCTCCAAGAAATCAGCTGGTATGTCTCCCTCGCGCCGGCTCATACAGGCGCGTAGTATCTGACTCTGTGATGTGTGCTCTTGTAGATATGACGCCGGATGCCAGCCTCGTATCTCTCCTCCCACCGCTGACGCCGGCACCACACAATCACAAAGCGTTCGCACATCTGCCGCGAACGCCAGGCTCGATCTTGCGTCGCAAGGCGCATGCGATCGAGGCGTCAGGCGGCGCGGGCTCTGCCACTTCGGTACGCTTTAGCAAGCGTCTTTATGACGATGGACAAGAGAGCAGCATGAGCTTGCTGTCAGCCGAGGTCTCCGAAGCCTCCACGTCAATGGTCAGACCGGATGTCCGACGTGTTCCCTCGCTGGAGAGCGCGGAACAAATCACTAGACTGTTCACCGTTGCCTCCTCGAATGCGGCTTCCATGGAAGCAGACCAGAGACACACCAACTCGCATCTGGGGACAAGATTGCAAGTCGGAGACGTTTCACTCCATAGCTCGTCCAGCAGCATATCTGAGGCGGGAGTGGATACTGAAGAAACACCGCATCCGGGGCGCATAGTCAAAATGCGAGTCTCGCGGCCTTCCTTGCAGGATGCCAAGTCACGAGCTCTGCGGCGAGGCAAGCACAGCCTAGACGGCAGCGACGCGCCACGGTCGGCTGCATCAGGAGCTAACAGCACTCTCAGTAGCGATGGAGCCGGAAGCAGCAGCAGCGGGAACAGCCTCAGTAACTCCGATCAGAAGCATGGCGACTCGAGTCCAGAGAAGCCAGCTGGGACGAGTGTAAAAGGGCCTCTTGAACACGCCTCCGCCAATGACTCTGCCTGGGACATGTCCGGGCAGCTCGCCGACCTGCCGTCTATCGAGAGCATGTCCAACATCATGGACCTGTCTGCAGATGTCGTGGCACTCAGCAACTACAGTCGGCCTCGACGCTCGAACATCGGCAGCGCAGAGCCACGCCCACCATCATCCAGCTCAGAGTCGCCTTCTGCATCAGGACTATCCCAACGGCCATCTGAGCGCATCCTTCCCAGCACCAACGATAACCTCGACGTAGATGAGAGCAACCCTAATGACCTCCCCGTCATTTCGAATAACAGTCTAGCGGCTGTTGGGCAGGCCGATGTGAATGACCAGTCACTAAGCCTCAGCATTAGCACACTGCAGCGTGAGGTCAAAGGATTTCAGGTGGGCTGGCGGATAGAAGAGGAGAAAGAGAAGAGGAGAAGGATCAGTATGAGTCTATCGACTGCGGGTCAGACGCCTTTTGACTCAGAAGAGCGAGCGCTGATGGACGCCGATGGAATTGTACCCGATGGCAAAGTACATGTTGGGGTGGAGGTAGAGGCAGCTGGCAGTGGCAGTGACAGTGACAGCAATGAGGTACCTGCAGAGACTAATACTTCGGTGCGCAGAGGTTCTCTGCAGGAGCTTTCACAGCTTCCCCTGTCCCTTCCGCTGCCGCCTTCGCCAACCACAAGCGAGTCGGATGAAAGCAGCAGCTCCCTTCTTCCACCCCTTGAGACCTCCCCTACCATTCGCGGCTACTCAGAACAGCCTCTAGCGCTACCTACTCAAAGTGCGATAGACTCGACGGGCGATTCGACGAACCTGAACTCGAGTCAGTTGAGCTCGCAAGCCCTTCAATTACAAGGAGAACAGCATATGTTCCCGTGCGGGAGAAAGCTCACCAGACCTGTGTTTCAAAGACAGTCAACTCCGCTTGATTCTCCTTCATCTCCTGCATTATTCTCTTCGCCTTCTACGCGGCGTCTTGGTCGCAGGGATGCTGCCAAACCCGACTTGCGCCGCCAGCTCGCGATGAAGGTTCTATCGACTCCCGCAACCGCGGAACGGTCGCTATCGCTTTCTCGTATGGGTTCATGCTCACTATTCGATATCAGCCGACGGTCACATAGCAGTCTGAATGCTTCCTCCGTCGGATCGGCATCCATCAGCCACAATTCGGCGTACTTTGATGCGGACGACTCGGCCAACCTGAGCGCGGTTTTCGAAACGGCTCGAGAATTAGATGAGGTCCATACCGAGCGGACAGCGCATCTGATCGAGCGTTTGCAGCAAGGGGACAGCGAGATCCTCGAATTAAGACAGACCCTGCAGCGCGTCTCTTCGTCCGAGGTCGATACGCTCAAAGAGTATGAGCGAATGAAGCAGCGCGTAGACGCTGCAGAGCTGGCACTATTGCGCGAGAAGGAGGAGGCGTTCGCAGCTGCAAGACTACAAGATCAGCAACATGCAGAAGTCAGCGCACTTATTGAGCGGCTCAAACTCGAGATCGACCAGCAGCAATTGGAGCTCGAGGCAAAAATGCAGGCACAAAACAAACAACAGGCTCTGTTACAAGTTAAGGTCCAGAAACTGCAAGAAGAGCTCAGTGCGGAGGTGCAACGGCGGGTACAGGAACAGCGGGACTTTGAAGTTCGACTGCTTGTCGCTCGGGCTGAAGAGCGAGAGAGCGCGGAGCAAAGCCTGCAAACTGAGATCGAGCAGGCAAGTCGTCTCTCGAAAGAAAGTTGTGAGCGCGACTTTGCTATCCGGCTCTCACGCGAAATGGAGAACATCCAGGCCGCGAAAGCCCAGCTGGAGGACAAGCTTGCCATCACCGAGGAACAGCTGGTAGCCATTCGGGACAACGAAGATCTACTACGCAAGGACGTGGAAGCTTTGCGTGAGGGAATTAACTCAGCCCTCAACGAGCGTCTCCGCGAGGCACAACATGAGGTCGACCTTCTGAAAGCAAGCGTGGAAGCAGAGCGATCGGCAGCTAGCGCGGCGGCAGCACAGGAGCATCAAAGGCAAGAAGCCCTCTCAGAGCTGCAATACGAGCTGCGTTCACTGCATAACAAGTGCGACGAGCTGGAAGATGCACTGCAAGAGGCTCGAGACCAGCAAAGCGAAGCGCAACGCGCAGCACAAGAACTACAGGCTGATGTGCAGCATGGCCAATTGCGAGAGCAGAGGATCCGGGATGACGCATCTGAAAAGGTCGCTCATCTTCAGCGATTGGTCGACAGCCTACGCATACGCGAGGATCAGGCGAATGACGAAGGCCTCGGTGGAGGTGTGGCTTCAAGGCAGCCGTGCGAGACCTGCCAAGGGCGAGCGGCATTGATGGAGACTCAAGTTGCAACCCAGGATATGGTCAAAGCGAACACCCGCATCAAGACGCTGGAGATCGAGTTTGCGAATCGCGGGATCGAGTTGGCCAAACTTCGAAAGAAGCAGGAACAGTTAGAGCAGGATAACAGAAATTACGGTATCGCTTTGTGAGTCTTTCCCCTCGCAGCATGTTGACACGGTATCGCTGACACCGCTCTTCACTACACGTCAGATCTGCGAAGCAGAACGAGTTGAACATGCTACGTCGGAATGGCGGCATTCGATATGCTATGCCGCGTACCCCCCTCGACAGTGCCATTCCAAACACTATCCGCCGCTTAGGCCTTGAGCCCATGTCGCCCAGCTTCCGCCCTGGCCCAAAGTTGCAGCACGCTTCAGAAGCGAGCTTTGCTCTAGAAGAAGGGCTTTCTAAGGGTCCAGCGCAGCTCAAAGCTCGCGGGCGTAAGTCCTTTGAGAACGATAACAGTAGAGCCGAGTCTCTCGGCGCACTGTTTAAGGGCAAAGTGCCAAAAATCGACGGAGAGAAGGAGATCGCCGGACGCTCTCCACGGAAAGGAACGCGCAGAATGCCAGTTGCAGTTGAATGATTCGTCCGCAGCATGGGGATCACGCGATGTTGTACTAACTAGTCTCAGATTCGTTGCAGAACACTTCTAATGCACAGTCCTCCCCAGCCCAGAAGGCCCAGATCGAATTGGCGCACCTTTCAGCCCCAAAACAGAAGCCTGCGGGCCACTGAGCGTCTCGCTGCCACTCTGCACGCTGACAGTCTTGGGTCCTCCGGCGCCAAGTCCCGAAAGGCCCGCACCGCCCAATCGCGACTTGGGCGAATTGAGATCAGCTTCGGGTGTCAAGTTCACATCGCTATTCAGGCCAGGTGAATGCATTGGCGAAATGCCTCTGCTTCCTGGCGTAAGCGCGTTGCCACGGACGAGGGAAATGCTGTTCATGCCAGCACCCCGAGGCATCGGGCTTTTTGGACGAAGAGCATCCGTTTCGGTAGAGAACGGCACAACGTTCTGGCGATCCTTGAGATCGCAGCCTGGCGGGTCGATACGGAAGTGCGAGTCGTATGTCGATTTCTGATAGGGGACTGCTTGCGCCCTTAAATGACCTTGCGACTTGCTCCAACCTGCAAAGCCGGGCCCCACCTCTGCGCCGACAGTGAGCCAACCTCGACGAAGATTACGATTGCGTCCGAAAAGTTCGATACGTCGTGTGCCGAGGCAGAAATTCTCGATCAGATTGTACAGTTCTGGTGGTTTGGATATAAGGCGGTCCGCGCCTTTCTCGGGTGGCCAGAGAATCACGTCAGTATCGATGTTGCAGTGGACAAAGTTGGTGTCGTTTGACCTGCGCACGGTACCACGAATTCCCATGAGGCAGTGCTGAACTGTGCGCGTCAGACCGGATGAAGTTGAGCTTTGGAAGTTATTTCCTTTGAGGGTATCGGCCTCCGTCTCAGGATCGATCGCAAGCCAGCAGATATCTTCACACCTTCGGAACCCCCAGCGGGATAAGAGTTCTCTCCCGCGTTCGAGCCCATTGCGGGCTCCGCTGCCAACCCAGAGAAATATGAAGCTATTTGAAAGTGTGCTCAGCCGCAGGCCATCCAAGACGCTGAAAAATCTGGCTCACCTTTCCTTGGCGACAAGCTGTGGGACGGGTAGGTTTGCTATCTGATCCCAACTCCAAAATGCCCCAGCGCTCTTGAGGTGTTTCGGCCCACAACCCGACGCATTCAGAGATGGGGCGGTCGGAGCAGCCTCCCACTGATAACTTTCAAGCGGCGGATCAATAAGGACAACATCGTATTTGATGGGAAGCAGATGATTCAGATGAAAGTGATGGGAAGGATCGACTGCAGGGTCGAAACGCGTAGCTGGGGCTAGCGACTGGAGTAGATCAGCTTTGAGGTACGTCGGAGGGTGTGCGATGAGCTCGACCAGCTGGCCATGAATCTCGACGAGCTTGCGTAGTTTTGGATACCTACAAAAAGGCGTGCTGGTCAGAACATACCATACCGCCAATTAGCACACCTGGACTTACTCGATGAAGCGGCTTTCGATGCTTGGATTGCGTACGGCGCTAGCCGGGAGGACACCGCATCCCGAGTCGACAAAATGCTGAGAGTAGTCGTTTCTGATGGTTTCTTCCTCGGGGATCTAGCCAAATCATGTCAGAATGTCAGAATCTCAGAAGCATTCAGGCGTGGTTGAGAAAAGCAACGGAACGAACATAATTGGGGCCAAGTTTTCTACTTGCACAGGTGTCACTTGGAAGTGGTCCAGTGGTTGCCTGCGGGTCATTGGATTCACGATCACAATATCTCTTCCACAATGGTGAGCTGCGAATAGGAATCAAAGACGGCCCTTGGTCTGATTCAGATTCATGCTGGGCAGGTTGTCCGGCTTGCAGCATCTGCTGCTGTCGGTCGCGGATCTCTTGACGAAAGGCTCTGTAGTTCTCCACCATGACGGCACCGGTGGAGCCGACGTGTGCCATTTTCGTGGTATCAGCTTTCTGCTTTCCAGGCTTTCAGGAACGGTGAGATGCCCGCCACAGATGGCATGCTAGGGGTTCTTCGTGCGAAGATAGCTACTTGGGCCTTCTTTGCTATACATGACCAAAGCAAGCTGAGACCTGACAGTGTACCATGGGTGAGGTGAAGAGTGGTGCTTAGTAACAAACGAAGAACAACAATTGTAACACTCTCACGGTCTTGACGCGTGCGTCCTCGTGTAGTTTTGATACATCTGCCCTTGTATACACAATTTGGACGGATTTGGTTGCCGCCATCACCATTCGGCGGTTCATTTGTCCATCTGCGCTTATTCTCTAGTCTCACGACGTGTCTGTAAAGGCAGACATGTCGGCGTCCACGGTGAAGCGACACCATGCCTTTTCCAGCATGGCCGGACGACATTGCGCAAGCTGGTTCGCACAAATTCAAGGTTCCACTGCAATCAAGCACGCCCCTCTATGACCCTGGCAACCTCGACGATGAGGTCCAGTACAAACTCGGCGCCTACCATGGCGACGACGAAGCTCGAGATGTCCCTTCTAATGAGAAGGACCCGCGGCCATATAATCTTCAGCGTCACTCGTTTCCGACAACATTTGACTTGGGTGGCAAGGACAGTGTGATGCACAGCATTTCGGTCCAGCGCAGGCTGCCAAAGAAGCCCTCATTGCCACCCGCGTTCAAGCACAATACATTGGCGCCACAATCAATCGAATCGCAGAGAATCACCAGTGGTGCCTTGTGCTCAAGGCCAGCAAGAGAGCCAGCTTCCGCGCATCGGCTTCCCAGTGTGGAGAGGAGCTTTGAGTTGCTGCAATCAGCGGGCAAGCGTAGATCACTGCATAAATTCACAACAGCGTCCTCCGAAAGCAACAACTCGACTCTCACGTTAAAAGTGCCCGTCACACCCGCTCGTCCGAATGCAGGTCCGATTCGCGTCTCGCTCTCGACCGCCTCCGACAGTAGCGAAGGATCGAAAGCAACCCACGTGCTACCACCCCCTGTGTCCACCACAAAGGGGAATCGATTTGTAACCCTCAACGGAGATTCTATGGACCATGACACCACGCCGTTACAGCACGTACGTGGCCTTCTTCTGCTTCATACACCCACGCGGATCGATGGAACGGCGATAGCAGAGTCGCCATCTGTGAACCTCGTTAGAACTCCCGCCCTCGAGACAGACCTGGCACTCTTACGAACCGCCTCTGGCAATGGCCTCGGCCCGCTGGTGGGCCCGACGTACGCTGAAATTGCAAGATGGAAAGGCAAGCGGCGAGCGCATCGGGAAGATGACGAAGATGATAGCAGATGCAACAAGGCCAACCGTGTACTCGAGCTGAACAACTCGACGCGGGCGGCAGCAGCAGCAGCGCCACTACCTCATACCCCGACGAAGCGTCAGAAGGTCCTCCCTTCATCCCCTGGCAGTGTCAACCTCCTCAAACTCGCGAAAAAGCTGAGCCCAGACCGCATCGGCATCGCCAACTCACGCGACAAGGTCATCGGCAGAGGTCTCGCCGAGCGAGCATCCACCGTACTTAAAAAAGAGCGATCCGAATGGCTCATGTGGGAAGCGTCAACGAGGACCAGCCGGCTGAATGCCATGCCTGCTGTACTGACTGGAACGAAGAAGCGCGCATCTATCTTCGCTGAGGACGACGACCCGCAGGCGCTCCCCGCCCAAGAGCGCATACAGGCTACCAAAACGGCCGCACGGCGAGTGCAGCGACCAGACCGTGTCCTTGAAGTCGTCTCGGTTCTAGAGCCACTGCATCACACGCTGCAGATGCGAGGCATTTCTGCTCGGAGTGAGTCAAGTACGCCCGCCCAATTGCTACACTCTGAGCAGATCCTTGCGCTCTGCTGCGACGCGGATTCGGATCGTGCGCAGGCAGAGCCAAAAGGAATCTTTCCTGTTCTGTTCTCTACGTCCATTTCGCACTTTGCGTCATCCGGTAGATCCAAGCGGGCTGCCCTCTTTGCAACCTCAGCTACCGGCCCGCAGAACATGGAGAGTAAGAATGCGCTTGTCGAGGTGATGAAGGCACTTGCGCACGCGCATGGGTCGCAACCACGGCAAACGCCCCCACAGCCTTCAAATCGTCTGGCTCTTGATATCTGGAGCCCCATTGAGCTCGGCCTGGTGCCTCTTTCTGATATTGCCGAGCCCAAGCTTTGCGCTTTGCTTTGCACGAGGTTCAAACTGCACAAGAGGGATCATTCTCCAATCGCGTAGCTCTGCCTTTGCCCCCTTCCCTGACATTTGTGAGTGAATCTTTCTCGGATCCAATGTTGCTGCATGCTCGCTCTTCGAGAACACGGCAAATCAAAGAAGATGAAAGACTATCACGCTACAATCCAACTCTAAGCAGCCCCTTTCTGCTCTCAAAGATTGTTGAGTCAGGAATGGGCGGCTGGTGAGACTGCTCTCGTGTATCGTGTTCAAGCGTTGCACGGGAGCCAAGAACGGGTAGCTGAACGAGGCATGCTACAAGCGTGACGCCTTTCCCTCTTGCCTTGGACTTGGTAGAAACTGACATCACCTGTCTTTCTTTAACAGCCCCCACGACCCCTTGCGTGCATCTTATACCCCATCGTTCGGGGTTTCATGCCCCCTGGCTCTAACATACGTCGCCGCCGTGGCAGTGCATACGCCCGCCTCCGCGTCCGCGTCACCGTCACTCTCCATTCTTTGTTTGCACTCCCTCGTAATAACTGCAGCATAGCCACGCAAGCACAGCGTCCAAGCAGACAGAAGAACGATAGTCGATGCTATGCCAATTTCAATTGGGCGTTTTTGAAACATGGATCGGAAAGCGAGTCGATACATCTACGCACTCGTCCGCCGGTCCAAGTAATGCCATAAGGCATGGTACATTCTCTGCAACTGAGACCCTGTAGCGAGCGGCCTCTGTCTATAAGAGCGCGAGCATGCCTGCCTGCCTGCATGTCTGCCTGCTATCCTGCCTTACTCGCGCACTCTCTCTGTCTTCCCCTGGCACGTCGCATCTGTTCTTCCGCCCGAGGCAAAAATGGAACAGAATCATGGGCTGTAGAGCTCCTCCTTGAGGCTGATGCCTGTACATGTTTAGACGAAAAGGGGGCCAACGAACGGTCAGCAACGATGGTGGCTAATTGCATTAAATGTACTGACCGAGCTCCTCCTTGACAGGCTTGAGTGCGTCAAGGTACTGCTGGTACTGCTGGTTGTTCTCGACCTTCTGTTTGACGCCTTCGAAGACTCTGACGGCGGTGCTGTAGTCGTTGACGCGACGCGCAGCGCGCAGAGCTGCCTCCACAACCTCTGGAGCGGGGACGAGATCGTACGCGAAGCAGTTGTTCAGGCCGCGTTGGAGCTCGAACAGATCTTGGACCGACGAGAAGAAGGTGACATATCGCTCGGTAAAGGACTCGTACGATTCTTCCTCGTGGTGCGAGGCGTAGCTGCGGACTGTAGCCGGCAAGAATGCAAGTTGAGTGATGGAGATGATGGTAAGCAACCCAACCAGACCGTCGAATGACAAATAGAATTCGAGATAGGCGTGCACACCACGTATGGGACCCCGCTGCGCCCCCGGTCGATAGATCAGGCGAAGTGGGAGGGGTCTACCGCCTTTTATGCAGAAGGGACCAACGAGGGCAGCGCAGTGCCACAGACTGCCGTCACCTTGGCCTCTTCATCTCAGGCCTTCCGCCCAAGGAAGTGCACTGCGTCATGCCCCGGGCATCCGCTCCTTAAGATAGATCGATCCTTCTCTCCCAATTTGCTTATCTTGGTCTACCTTAATTGCACCTGCTGGCTCCTCCACCATGCGCCAGTCACCCTGCAGACACATAATCCGACATGCCGGAGCTCGCCTTTACGCAATAGCCTCGTTGACTGTGCAACTCACCATTCGCGTGTCTAGCAGCGGCAGCCATGCTCGGGACGATTGACTTGGCGGAAGCAGTTGCGGACCTCGCGGCGGCCGCGGACCGGATGGCACCTGTCAGGAACTGCATCTTTCGTCGGTATCAGCTCGAACAAAGTATTGCAGAGCGTTTTCGTTAGCCTGCTGAACGTGAAGGGCGCGGTGAGATGGCAGGGGATCAAGGATGGAACAAAAAAGAGAGAAAGATAACGAGAGCAGCACAGACCGACAGTTGTCATTGTCGGCCAGCTTCAAACCGAGAGAGGTTTGGAAGTCGATGGAGGGACTTTCTGGTTGGCTCCTTGAGTGTGGACTTACAAAATGTTGATACTTGCAACGGCAGATGAATTGCTTGTAAAGCCAAGCACACAGCCCGCCAACCCTACTCAAATTAGACATCGAATGGGAGCATCGGAACCCTTTTCCGCAAGCGCCACACCGAACCACCCGCACTGATGCGAACCGTGCAGCCAAGAAGCGGAGATGGGGTATATTTTGCTGCTTTGTGCCTTCTTGGAGACCTTAGTTGAACTTGTTGTCTTCTTGCCAACGTCATCTCGTTCATTCCGACGATGCAAGCGGACGCTCGGCAGTGAGCTGGAGATGTCCAAGGTTTGCTCCAAGAAGAGAAATGAAGGCGCTGAGCAAACTCCAGTCGTGGCGCAGCTCGGGGTCCAGTACCCGAGCCTGCGTCGATAACAAGGACACCGTTGACGGTGTGACCGTGGATGGCAAGATCCTGGAATCGAGCAAATGGTCGGAGAAAGAGGAAGGGACCAATAATGACAATGTCAACGCCGAAGATAAAGCTGATGACGACGAGGATGCTGCCGCTGCTGCGCGAGCCGAGCTCGACGAACAAGTCAAGTTGCGCAAGGACGCAAATGACAAACTGTATGCTGCCAGCAAGGCGTACTGGGCCTACCTGTCCAAACGCAAACCATTACCATTTGACACAGACGTCGCTTCTCTGACAAGAGTATTGAGCAAGGATGCCGAGACCAACGACACCGCTTTGGCAGATGCGGAGGACGACAACAGCGCCTCAGCCAAATCTGCCAGCAAAGCAGGTTTTAGAGGGATGAGCCTTTTTGGTGGCGCTGGAGCTGCTGTGGCTGCCATGGTGGGAAGTATAGGCAAAGACGACAAGGTAATGCCTTGTGAAGCCTTCGGTCTTGCCATGCTCGATGCCGCTCAAGCACTTGGCGATCACAATGTTCAGGGTGAGTTTGACCTATGATCTTGCAGTCTCACTCTGTAATGCTGACTGGTACGTGCTTGTCACCTGTGTGGTATACAGGTAATTCTCTCGCCTTACTAGGCGAAGCTCATCTTCATCTCTCTACTTTGCAAGACACATTTGCCAAGACCTTGGCAGACACCTACCTCTCGCGCCTCGTACGCTCTAAAGTCAGCATCGAAGCTTACCAAGCCGCGCGCAAGAAGGTCTCCTCGACGCAGGCGCGCCTTTCTAACGCGCGAATAAAGCGCCGAAAAGCGGGGGCAAAAGGCGCGAGTACAGTTACGGGGGATCGGGGAGAGAAAGATGAACGCGCGGATAGCGAGTTGGAGGAGGAGATGCGACTTTCGGAAGCTGCATACGAAGATGCCTTGCAGGACCTCGAGGCGCGTGCCGAGCTGCTCAAACGTGATGAGGTGCAAGACCACGAATCTCTTTCTGATTTGCTGGAAGTCAGCATCGAGTATAGTGCTCAGGTCCACGAGGCGCTGCTGACTGCGAGGAGCGTGTGGCCACTCTCTGCCATCTCGCAGAGCGGAACCTATATTACACGAACGAGGCCGAGGTTTCCTCACAGCAATTCTGCTAAGGATGCTGTTTCAAGTACTCGAAGGCAGTTTGAAAGCAGCAGCCACAGACGCAGCATCAGCACACCCATGTCGACGCGCTCGCCTTCCATACGCTCACTCGGCGAGCCAGGCGGCAATGGGGAGGGCAGCTTTTCTCCGTCGGAAGCAGCAGTGTCTGGAACCACTGTTGCGAATAGCAAGAGAAGGCCGCGTCTCTCTGTCCTGAGCAACTCAGTATCTAGCATTTCGACAGCCACGCTTGGCGGTGTCGGCAACATGGTGCGACTTGGCCGTGCCAAGACGAGCGATGCCGTTCCGCAGCTTTCGACAGCTGAAGATGCGAAAGGCGATACTTCTACCGCGAGCGAAAATCCGAACGCAGCGACCGAAGACGACAATGCGGCGGCGAAAAACCCAAAGATGGGGAAACAGCAGTCTGCTGGCTACAGCGACATGGGCAAAGATGGCTCCGTGGTTAGTGCCGAGAACCAAGGAACGATCAGTAAAGGTAGCACTTGGGCCAAAGGTCTGCTCGGGCGTGCCAATAACAAAGACAAGTCGACTGGCGCCAGAAAAGATGGTTTTGCATACGTGGAGGCTGCGGGAAAGAACTCTGACGTGCAAATCAGCGAAGAGGAGCGACAGCGGAACGAACAGATGCTCAAGGATGTCGTCTCGCTTGGTGGCAGTCGCGCAGGTTGCAGTGCTACTGCTTTCGCGACTACCAGCGGTGATACTGTGTCTTTTCCCTCGAGGGGCAATCAGGCAAGGGAGTTGAGCATCAGCTCCGATGATGCTCGCAGCGAACAAGATGGGCGAAACGCACTTTTCGCGCGCACAGGCAGCGTCCCGGGTCCCATTGCACCGCGTCCGACGCGTCCGGCCGACTGGCTCTCCTTTGCCGACGAACCAGAATCGGCATCTTACGACGCCGATGGCTTCCCCGACAGCCCCTCCTTTGTCGGCAGCGAGCGCGATGGCGTTTCGCCGCCTCCATTCATGGGCGCTGACAGCGGCATGGGCATGTTTATCCTGGACAATCACAACTCCGCGCACTTTCAGCACTTTTCGCTCCACTCGCCTGAGCCGTCCGATGGTCTGCTGCGCACGCCGTCAGCGGCGGGAGGTGCTTCGTCGCAGGATTTGCAGCACGCGCATATGCGACCGATGTCAGCACTGTCGAATGGTTCGCTCGGTACGGATCCTTTCGCGGATCACCGCTTCTCGCCAGCTGGGCTGCGCGCTGTCACCGTCAGCCCCGGCTTCGCTGCCGTTGGTGTCCCTGCCGCTGTCGATGGAAGCCTGCTCAGACCTGCGACCGTCTCGCCACAGGTGACTGGCGAAAAGGTACAGCTGCTTGCGCGAGAACGTGCGTTAGATGAGAGTGCGAGGAACAAGGGCACTGTTCCTGGAGCTGGGAGCAAGAAGGGTACCGCGAGCATTCCCGCAAACGGAAAAGCAGTAGGTGTAGCTGACAGTGGCGGATGTATTGCCGATGCTCATCAGGCATCAGCTGCATCTTCGAACTCGACCCCATATGCTACGCCTGCACTTGCAGCTGCGCCTGCGCCAGCACCACCACCTCCGGGCAGCTCTTCCTCGGTACTGGGCAAGAAGTTGGCGCCACCGATTCCTGGTCTACCAATGCGTAAAGACAAAGGGATCAGGCTTCCTGGCTGAGGCATGCCTTTTGGGACACGAGATTGATATGGTGTTGATGCGGATACGGGCAAGGACATTTCAATGGGAAAGGCGCAAGTTGACAAGGGCATAAGGATGATTAGATATCATTTCTCTTTCTTCGTACACTGATACATATCCGACCCTCCTTTCAAGTTGCTGTATCATATCGAAGTTGGATGGGGCAAAGCTCTGCACAGTTTATGCTCGGTCGATGCGCACATCGACCATCCTCGATGGCGGGTCCTCCCACTCGTTTACAGCATGTGCTCGCTGCAACACACGTCAATCAGCCGGGCACCAAAACTTAACAAGCAACGAATGCAGAGAGATGAGGTCGCTGCACTATGCATTGTGGATGACTTCGGTCCTCCAAGCGAGCGAGAGTGTCTTGACTTCCGAAGTTGTTGCATGGATGCCCCGTCAAATGTATCCTTTCAGTAGTGTGTCCGCTTGGTGAACAGTCGTTCAGGCTAGCGTATGACCGTTCACCGGCATTGGACTTTGGAGATGTGAATATGCCCGTACAAGCCCTGTCTAATAAACTTTCTACGGAGACAGTCAAAGCGATCGCACTAGCGACAGACGTTGACGAGCCAAACGCAAGAGTCGAGGCTCGGAGCGAAGAGAGGCTTGCGCCAATCTGCTCTCGCAGTCTTCTGTCCTTGAAGCACGGTGGCCCAATGACGTAGACCCTCAGTGCGACGGGTCCGACTACCATGTAAATAGCTCGAGAGCGTGAGATTACACTTTTCCACTTGAAGGACAATATCAACTGAATTCAAGAGCAGTGGCCCGAATGGTTAATTAGGAGAGAAGACGTAGAGCGGTTTGCACCGAATGGGATGAACACCTGCAAAGGCACTGCACCTGCCTCTCCTTTGCTCTCCCTTTGCTGCTAGTCTTTGGGCTACATACACGCTTGCAACTTTCTCGATTGCTTCACCAGCTGAACTACATTCTTCCCCCTCCCTCAGTGGTCGCCAATCGGCATACTAAACGTTCGTATTTGGAGTTCGACGACGCAACGTCAGTATGACCTCAAACATGCTCATGCGAGGTGCGTGCACCTGTGGTACCCTACGGACCGGGCCGTCAGCCGCGATCCGAAGCAGCGTCTCCGCTCCGATTTGCCGGACTCTCCAGACAATTACAGCCGCCGAGCCCGGACTTGCAACCTCCCAATCACCGAAGCTCAACCAAACTTCAAAGGGCTCTTCTCCATCAACACCCGCGCCTTCCGCAGCATCACAAAATCTCTTTCAACGCTGGCGGAATCCTGCGACCGGCAAATGGCGCCCGCCGCAGTACAGTCTACGTGCACAAGCGCAAATTGCATCTGCTGCCTTGCAGATGGGAACGATTGACGAGCTGCCGCGAAGTCCTAAAGTGGCCAAATTCATCGCACGCGCACGAGCGAATGCCAGAGCTCTTCAAGCGCCAGCGAGCACGAGCGCGGGGACTGCCCAGGGCGCCATGGCGATGGAGTATAACCTTGGGGCAGACGCGGCAACCGACGCAGCCGCAGGCGCTTCTTCGGCAGATGCAGAAGCGCTCAATGCAGCTCTTCGCGGCTGGCATCTGTCGTCTGAGCAGGACTCGGCGATGGCAAAGGCGATCGTGCACTCAATGAGAAACCGAGGGCCTTACGCTGGTCGAAAAGGAAAGATGTTCAAGGGCACCAAGTCTGAACGAGGAGCCAAAGCCAAGGCGGCGAAGATCGATGACAAATTGCAAGCGATGTCGAAGACGGTTGCCGAGTGGAGGCAGGTGAGCGGTCTCTGGACGCGCAATGGCCATTTGTTTTGCATCTCATCAGGCTGACGGACTCGCCTGACCGCAAATCCTTTCCAAGTCGAAATTGGCAGCCAAAGCCAAACATCGACCTTCTTTGCCCTTTTAAAGTGTGGTCAGAACATGCGTGTATGTTTGCAGAGATAGTGGGACAACAAGACAACAGCTTGGAGCGAGTTCTATATGCCCGGGTTTTCGGGCGCTTCTTCCATGCGTCCATTCTGAAATCGCCACGTCGGCCCGTCACCCCGATTGTAGCGCAGGAAATCTGCCAGGAGGGTGAGGAGGGACGTTGTCAGCAGTAACCCTTCGAAAGTGTTTGAAGCAAACAGGTAACACACTCTCGGTACCTTTCCGATTTACGACTCGGCGAAAAGTAATGTTGATCCTCCCACCGGGTGCGTTTTTTCGCTTTGGCACGGCATGCTCCCACTCGGCTTGCGTTCGGCCGCGCATGAGAAGCAAATCGCCGTCCTCGAGCATGAACTTCTCCGTCGGCCGCGTGGCGGCAGGGCCGATGCTCTTGGTGTAGAACTGATTCTTGTTCGCCATGGACACGCTCGAGGGCGCTTTGCGACGCATCAAAAAGTCGCGCGTACTGCCGAGCGTCACTGCGTGAAATACCAGGTGTCAGGCTATCAGTGAAGGCTTCATAAGGATCGGTGCTTCGTGTGCGGACGGTTCACATGAAGCGATGCTTGGATTGGGACCCAGGAAAGTCTCATCGTCAGAATGATAGCTTATGCTGTCGTTGCCATCTTGGTAATAATTCACAATGAGCGCATTGTAGGACGCTTGCGTGATCCGCTCGATCTCTTCCTTGATCGCCATCAAGCACTCTGGGATCGCTTTGGGCGTTTTGGAGTAAGACCCATCCGAATTACCAGGTAAGTCATCCCGACCAAACGTCGTCGTAAAGCGCGGGGTGTGAATCGTGATGCCACCGTTCGGCCGCGTGTAGATCACGCGATGCCAGCTGAGCTCGCATAGCATCCAATCTCGAAGTGAATTGCGAGCTGGTTCGCGCAGCCATGATTTCCAGAAGACTAGGTCGAGGCTGGAAGAGTACTTGGAAATACAACGGCCTGGCTCGCTTGAAAATGAGACGGCCGTGATGGCCGGCATCGGGACAGGCTGGAGGACTGTATCTCCGAGGCCGGAAGATCGTGCCGTTTTCTTACTAGTGGAGGATTGCAGTACAGAGAAAGCGTTGCGTATGGGCTGCAGCTCCGTTGCTTCTTGTAGCGACGTCTGCGACGGTGCAGGGTCCTCTGGGTTTGGCCTCCGCTTGTCTTGCCCGACAGCATCACGGTCCGCTGAGACCGAGCCGCGCCGTTTTCTCGCGAAGTTACCCGTAGTTGGAGATGACAATAAATATGAATCCCTTTTATTCGAAGCTCGAACTTCTGCAAGCGCAGCCGAGCTCGTTTGGCTCTGCGCAATCGCTTCGGCTAGCAGCTCCTCTTCAATCATCGCGTCGAGACGCGCCTGCTCCTTGGACGCTTCAATTGCGCGTTGCAACTCATCTTCTTCCTCCATGGTTTATCTATGCCGCGCAAGCCGTGCTGGGCACTATTACAAGCCAGCCTGCCACTGCGCATGAGTCTACGGCGCTGACGTCAACGCATGGCAGCATCTGTCTGCTTGACGGACAAAGACTATGTGTGACACGGGTGTTGGTTGTTGTTCGTTATGGGGAGCACTTCGAAGGTGTTACGCAAAGGACGCGACGCGGCAGCACTGCATCAGTTTCCGAAGAGAGTGGCGGACTCTGGCGCGCTGTTGGCGCGGTCATCTCCTACCAACCAATAGATCCATTCGTTCCCATCTTGCCTGCCTCCTCATCTTACGCGACACCCTCGTCGGACACGGCAGGGCAAGGGGTGATCGGACGAATCATCATACTTGCGCAGGACGTGCCATGTATCAACCGCAGCAGGGCGGCCTGCCCCCAGGGCCGGCTGCAGCTCCGCCGCCCTCGTTCCCACCGGCGTTCCAGCCGGCTTCCTCGGGAAACGCCAGCAGCGGCGGGAACCACCACCAGTCTCGCAATCATCATCACTCTCCAAGGGGAGGTAATCCGGGGAGGAGAAGTGCGGCCGTAATGATCCGGAATCCAAACGCAGTCGATGGAGTGGTGACGGCAGCAGCAGCATCTTCATCGGATGCCCAGCCGCCATCGTCGGCGCGTGAAGGGGTGGGTGAAGGTGCGGCAGGCAGCAACCATAGCAACCACAGTAGCAACAGCCCGTCAAGAAAGGGCATGCGCAGAGGGGGCAGAGACGGACATCGGAATTACCATCGCTACAACAACCACGGGCAGGGGCAGGGCAACGGCTATCCGCAAGGGGAAGGAACCATAAGTGATAGCACTGGCAGCCTTCGGGACCTGAGTGTGAACGGAACCAGCAGCACATCCACCTCTCCCTCACCCTCTGCTGCATCCTTGGCAGGTACCCGGCCTCCGTCTGGAGCGTCTGGCCTCACTGCGAGAGCAGCCAGCGCTGCAGTATTTGTGCCGAAAGGTGCCGCCGGCAAGGACCAAAGCGCGGGCAATGGCAGCGGCGTGAGCCAAGACGTTGCTCGTGTGACGAACGCAACCAGCTCGATGAGTCTGTCGCACGCGGTCCGTGCAGCTGTGTTCAATCCGAGCACCACCCAGGCTCTTCAAGGCGAGACAGGGGCAGACGCAAGTGGCCGGGCCACGCCCAACTCGTTTGGCGAGGATGCGATCGTGAGCGGCGGCTGAAAAGGTCTCCCTTTTTGCCGAGACGCGTAAAGCTGACATTTGAAGGGCTCACAGGATGTCTTTGACCCAACGTACACGGGTCCCCTGCCTTCGGAGGAGCCAGCACAGCTCATACAGGAGACCGCATACAATCCGTATGAAGGGACAAACGAGTATGGCGAGCCTGGCAGCTCTGCTGCCATGGACCTCTATTCGCAACAACAGGCCGCGGTTGCAGTACGTGCCGCCAAGATCCGGCAGCCACTGCAGTACCATCAATACGCGCCACCGCTCCCTCACGTATCAAATCTACACCCACACCATCTAACGTCTCACGCATTCTTCTTGCATCCCAACCAAAGGGAAGAGTTGCAGCGGAAGCAAGAAGCTATCTTTGTCAACATCCCTCCGCCCGAGCTTGGAGGGCCCAGTCTGCCCGAGGAGCTGCATGTCTACCACAGCCTGGTACCCCTTGAGCCGATACAGCCTGGGGGTCCGGGGCAGCCCGGCTTCCCGCTGAACCCCTCGCTGCTGGATCCGACGCTGGACCCTGCCGCGATTGGGGCGACAGCGACAGGCGGGCCAGGCATCATCGGCACGTCCGGCGATCCTTCCAAGCTGTTCGGGTATCGCTCGCACTGTTACAAAGCTGTTTGCTCTCTGGACGGCAAGAGCTACGTGCTGCGGCGGCTCGAAGGCTTCAAGTTGCAGCACGAAGTCGCTATCGGACTTGTGGAGCGATGGAGGCGCATTCGCCACCCGAGCATCGTCAGCGTCCGCGAGGCGTTTACTACTCGAGCCTTTGGCGACCAGTCCATCGTGTTTGTGTACGATTACCACCCGCTCGCGTCGACGCTGCATGCAGAACACATGGTGCCCAAGCCGCCTCAGCCTGATCGCAGGACGGGCCGGCTGCAGATGGTGCAGATGCAAGTCCCGGAGAAGACGCTGTGGAGCTACACATGCCAGCTGGCGAACGCTTTGCGATGTGTTCACAAGGCCGGCCTCGCTGCACGCAGTATCGAGCCGAGCAAGGTCTTGCATACAGGCCAGAACCGCGTGCGCATCAACTGTTGCTCCATCTTTGATGTCATCGCGTACGATGCGCGTGCGCCTGCCAATGCCGTACAGACGCAGCAAGCTGACGATCTGCTCAATCTCGGCAAGTTGATCCTGTGTACCGCGTGCAACAGCGCTGCTGCCGCATCCAACGTACCACGCTCACTGGAGCAAATCTCGCGTGTCTACTCGCCTGAACTCAAGTCGATGGTCATGTGGTTGCTGCAAAAGCCGCACCAGAAGAAGGACGCGGATGAGCTCGTGCGCTTGCTCGCCGGACGCATGGCAGATGAGTTTGATTCCGCGCTCAACTACAATGATTCCCTCGAGAGCTCTCTCATGCGCGAGCTGGAGAATGCCCGGCTCGTTCGTTTGCTATGCAAGCTCGGTTTCATCAACGAGCGTCCAGAGTGAGTCCTGCATGTGGCGAAGAAAGGGTGTTTGCTGCTGACGACGAATGCGTCTACAGATTCGATCATGACCCGCGATGGTCCGAGACGGGCGATCGCTACGTCGTCAAGCTCTTCCGTGACCATGTCTTCCACTCGGTCAACGAAGCGGGCCGGCCCCTGGTGGATCTTAGTCACATTTTGACGAACCTCAACAAGCTCGATGCGGGCTCGGAGGAGAAGCTGATACTGACCAGCAGGGATGAACAGAGCTGCATCATCGCAAGTTACAGAGAGGTGAGCGTGTGCAGTGCGAGCGCTCCAGAAACTGCCGCTCAAGTCTTGCTTTTTTGCCCTACAGATCAAGAACTGTATCGAGTCGGCGTTTCAAGATCTATCGCGCAGGTAATTGTAGCTTGTTGTTTCCCCACGCAGCATGTATCCCCTACGCTATTATGACATTTCAAGACGCCTTGCTTTTTCCCCTCGAGCGCACGGCGGACAGTGCTACGGACAGTTTTCGTCGCTCGAATGTGAAACTAGAGAGAGGTGGTGAGCAATGAGTTTGGGGAGGGATGACTTGGGACGCACGCACCATGCAAACAGGCAAGCGAGCGTGAAAAAGGCGCCAATGCCTATGGAAGGCACGACCTGCCGCACATTGACAGGGCATGAGCCCCCTACACGTGCTGAGGCAAGCGCTGCGCGCAGAAGGTACGCCGAGACTGCAAAGGTAATGAGCGAAGGTGTCGACGGCAGGATGGCAGTAGGTGCCATGTTGGCTGCATGTTTCGCACTGGGTTGGAGTGAGAAGAACCATAGCATGTACCACCAAGAGTAGGCGGCGCGCACGCCGATTGACAGTGCACTGCTCCAGACTAGCGCAGTCTGGTGGAGGGCCGGCACCCATTGTAGCAGCCACAAAGACATTATGAAGGTTGCGCTGCTGAGCATGATGATCCAATTATACGTGCCGAGCTGCCTGGGCCCCGCTGTCGCGGTGAGAAACCCCTCAGCAATGCCGTTGATACCCAGGACGGGAATGTAGCAGGCGTATGCGCCGAGGATGATCGGCGCGGTGGTACCGCAAGCCCATCGATCTCCTGCGAGTAGGTAGATGGCCGAACGGGAGAGTGGTGGACCAAAGGTCGCGAAAAAAAGCCCCAGGAGGATATGAAGACGCAGAATTCCTGCCAGCATCGAGGATGCGGATTGCAGTGCGTTCTCATCGTCCACAGAGAGGCTCATCACAGAGCCATCCTGCGCGCTCAGAATGTGCCCCAGAGTCTTGGAGAAGGTGATGCGGGAAGCTTCTTCAACAGGATTGAAGAGGATGCGCAGGATGAGGCTTCCATAGTTGGAGGCGAGTGCGTACCCGCCTTGGTCTTCGAGTGTACCGAGACGCGCAACAGCGATTTTGTCCGACTCGCCCATGACGTGTTTGAGCATCGCCTGTTTGCCCATTGCCCACGAAATGGAAATGCCTTTCGGACTGAGGTAGCGCGATTGACCGTGCACGATGGCTTTGCGCGGCCAGAGTAGAGCCCTCGTCCTTCGAGCGCCGATGCTGCGATGGAAGGCGTACACATAGCAGAGCAGAATGACAAGCCCGAAGCTGAGCCTGCCCCAGCCATAGGCCATCAGGCCGTACGTCGAGCCGAGGTGGCGGCCAACGCCAAACCATTCCGGCTTGACCATGCACGCGAGGATGGTGGCGCAGTTAGCCAAAATGGCAAGCCCCTCTGCACGTACGCGCAGCTGCACGTTTCCCAGCACTTGCGCGCGGTTGAAAAGCGGCTCGGAAAGCAGCTCCAAGATGCCTCCGACGGCGAACAGCGTGACGGTAGGGGCAAAGTGCGGCGAGGAGCGCAGCGTGCTGGATGCATGGCGTATATAGAAAAAGGAAAGCGAGACGTCAAATAATGCGCCGATGGCCACCGCTACAAAGGACAGATTGTGCGCAACCTGCTCGTTGGGCGGCAGTAGCACCGTACTCGGTACACATTGTCCATTCTCGGTGGTGCGCGCGCTCTGTATCCTGTTGCCTTCTCTGAGGATGACACAGCGTACTCCTTCCCTTGCCGCGGTCAAAATGAGGCCCATGAGCAGCTCGAACTGTATCGTCGTGGCGCCAAACACATCGGGCGAGGTGATGCGGATGAGGAACTGGTTGAGTGCAAAGGTACCAAGCCGTGAAGCGAGCTGAAGCAGGAGGAAGAGCCGGGCCGAAGCGAAGAGCTGGTCGCTGCCATCCTTACGCCCCGCGGCTGTCGGACCTGCCATTCTTCCTTATCCTTGCCACAGCCCTCTCTCCCAGATCGATGCCCGACCCAGCTTGGTCGACTCCGAGACTTGATCTTGGATGGCAGCAGGCGTTCCATGTACTACCGAATGATGACCAGGGCGAAGGAGTGTGCGCGCGTCATTGTGCATCACTGGGAATGAGGAGCGGTGTTTGCTTTGGACGAACGTAGAAGTTCAACATTGAATACGGAGTGAAAGCAACGCATCTCACAGGGCGATGACGATATACGTGGACCATCCCTTCCTCCTCATCCTCATCCTCACTAGACCCCATCGGCAGTATTGTGTGCAGTGCAACGAACAAAGACGCACATCCTTGCGGCTTTGACCGCTCGCAAAGCGACAACGGCGACGGCAGGATGCCACCGCGCTTCGGTATCGCCGCGCCTAAGTGCGCGCGGTGCGATAAGTCGGTCTACCAAGCCGAGCAAGTCATCGGCCCAGCCGCTAAGCCGTACCACAAATCATGCTTGACATGCATGGCATGCGGTAAGCGACTCGACAGCACGCTACTGCTAGAGCACGAGGGTGAGGCGTACTGCAAAAACTGCCACAAGGCGCACCTGGGCCAGGGCAAGGGTGGATTCGCGACCGCAGTGCCGCTCAAGGCATCCATCCCGCGCAGCCCGCCGGCTTCAGCAGCGTCCGGTGGCGCCGCGTATGGCAGTCCGAGCTTTGCGAGCGCCGCAGGCGCCGCTGTTCCACGCTGGGCGGGAGTGGCTGAAGGTGACTGGGTTGCGAGCGCTGGGAACCGCTCGCCGACGCGCGCAATCGCGTCATCCAGGGTATCCTCGCCACCAAAGCTACCTGGGCGCGTCATTATGGACGAACTTCCTTTGAGTTCCGCGCAGGACGCCTCCGATTCCATGCTCAACCTCGCCGATGAGATTTCTGAAATCAGAATTTCCTCCCGGGAGCCGAAGCGCGAAAGCACGGGCCGATACGAGGCATCTTCGTATTTGAGCGATGGCGGCTACAGAGATAGCCAAGCTGTGCATTCCATCGACGACGCCATCGCCTCTGGTGCCACGCCCAAGATTTTCTCGCGAAGCTCGGAAACGACGGGCGCATCGAGGTCGGCAGGAATGGCGCCCCTGTCCCCGAAGCCGGCACTACCCATCCCCAGCAAGTATACCATGCCCCCCACAGTCGCGCCTGTGCGCACTCCTCTTCCCGAGCTGGCTTCACCAGCGCCAGTGCGAGCGCAGCTACAAGAGCCGACCAGCTTTCCAGTCTATCGCGCCGGTGCGGATGTCGACTCGCCGAGATTGAACGACCCGTTCTACGAGCCGTCTGCAGCAGAGGTCATTGCGGCGGTGCGCGCAGGCAGGGTTCCAGGTTCGCCTCACAAGGCGGGCGTGTCCAGTTTCGACGGTTCGCAGTCGCCTCTTCGTTCAGCTTCCCCTTGCAAGGCCCAAGAGGCGGAGAGTGTCACGCGAGCGATCATCGGGAGCGTGCCTGCTCCGCCATCGTACAGCTCACCGGCAGCTGCATCCGCGACAGCAAGTGGCCCTTCTCGGCTTATTAGGCCTGTGACTCCGCCGCAGCAAAAAAGCCACAGCGCAACGTATTCGCCCGAGCCCCGAGCCTCGAGCACTCCCTCTCGGACTGCTACCGGCGGGGCTGCCTCGGGACCCCGGCTGCCCTCGCCAACGAGGCCGGACATGAAGCGCTTCCGTGATGCGGCCATCAAGACTGCACCTATGCATCACTGTGATGCTCCTGCGCCCGCGTCAACGACGCCCAAGCAGCAGCAGCCGCAACAAGTCCATGGCGTCTCGAGCCCATCTGCCACGAGCGGAGCCACAACGTCGTCGCCAAGCTTTTCAGCTGGGATCAACCGCCTCGGCCTGTCATCGTCCATCGCGACCGCCTCTGCCGCACGATCCGGCACGCCGCTGTGCGCACGCTGCGACAAACCGGTCTACTTTGCCGAGCAGCTGCAGGCATCGGGCAGAAAGTGGCATCGTGGCTGCCTGCGGTGCGACGGTTGCAACACCAGCTTGGACCCAGGCAAGCTGGAAGAGGGACCGACGGATCAGGTGGCAAAGGGATGCAACACGTGGTGCCGCACTTGCTATGCCAAGTACTTTGGTCCAAAGGGTGAGCGCCGTCTCAAAGAGTGACTGGTACGCGCACATCTTCGGGAGCTGACTATGCTTCAACTTTATTCCTGGCAGGTATCAAGGTCGGCATGTCTCTGCCGGAAGGCCTGCCGCGTTCGTGAGCCAGCTCTCCAGTTTCTGACATTTTCCACAAGGTGCTCGTATTAAATTTCAGTTTCGGAAGCGCAGCGCCACCTTGGCATGCGTGCTGGATCGCTTCTTTTTCAATGCTCTTTTTGCTATTTTGCGCCCTTTGCCTTTTCTCTGCAAGCTCGACTGCTGACTGCTCCCTGCTGTATGCCGCCGCTGTTTTCCAATCACCCACCAACCATGTATTGTAGGACCATGCGAGTGAGAACATGGAACGTTTACAGAACCTGCGATACGCCTGATCTCTGGCTCAGGTAGATTCGTGCTGCTTTAAGTCTGCCACCCGCAGCCGATTACGCTTGCCGAGCACGCGCAACGTGCGCTCCTTTTCTGCGTCGGTCATGCTGGACCAGTTGCCAATGCGCGAGAGGGTCTGTCATTCAAGTCGAGGGAGAGTAGCGTCAAGTTAGACTCACCTTCTGGCGATCGCACTGAACTATAACCCAGCTATTCGGCAACTCACACCATCCGAGTTGACCACCATGGGTCCCAGATTGTCGAACTTTAAACTGCCGCCACCGACGTCCAGCTGCTGAGCATCGTCTTTCTGCGGTGCCTCTGGCGGTGGCTCGATGAAGCCTATGCGGTATCGTCCGTCGCTGTCTGTACGTGGCTCTATGCTCAGTTCGGACTCGCTAGCCTTGAGATGCGCAGGTGGCCATAGAGAGCCAGAGGATGCGGTGCCTTGCAAAGGCCCCTGCGTTGTCGGTGGTTCTTTCTCGCTTGCCGGCATGGCCGTCGAACCTTGACTTTCCAAAGCCTGGTTCTTCCCAGTGCTTCACATCCTAAATGGTGGTTGCGGACATGATAGCTCCTAGTTGAGCATTCCGATCATTGCACAGTAAACGAATCAATTCATATTAATTTATCGTTGCATGAAGAACACAGGTTTACATTTTGCGGCCGAAGCGCACGGCGCAGTGTTCGGTTTCGTCGACGTTCTCTAGACCCTGACGAATGTTCGATCGCTTCGATGCCCGCGCGGCATACTGTCTTTAACAGTTCCGGCAAATGATACCTGTTCTTGCCTTTCTGGGCAATCCATATTCGACGGGTGGAAACCACGACAAAGAGTCAGACGATTCTGTTCATTACGATGGGTGAGTGCACAAGTCTGTGAGATGTTGGCACACTTGCGTTTTGGTTTGCGGCGCACACGCTCATGCCGCGCACATCCTCAGCTGACGATCCGTACACTTCTGCGGCCGCTGCATCGGGGTCATTTGCAGGCCTCTCTCTGTGGCTGCAGATTAGCAACTCGGCGACGCAGGAAGCGGTGCAGCATGTGATGGCCGAGCTGCGGTCACATGTGCCAGAGGACGCTCCAGCATTTGAGCCGCACGCGACGCTGCTTGCTGGTCTTTCCACCGACGAAGGCTGGACGCCGGAAAAGGTGTGGGAATATGTACAAGCTGCAGTGCGGGCGTGGAAGGCGAGCCCGCATTGTGCCCATCTCGAGTGCAGCTTTCGCTCGATGACAAGGAGAGACGTATTCTTTCAATGCGTCCTCATCGAGCTTGAGCAGCAGCCAGCCCTCATGGCGCTCAACGAAGCAATGCGTAAGGCGTTCAACAAGCAAGAGCAGCCACCGTATTTCCCTCATATCTCGCTCCTGTATGCGGGGATCGGAGGGGAAGGCGCAGAAGCGGAGATTGCTTGGGCCGGGGAGCACAGATTATGGACCAAAAAGGGGCAAAGCATCGAGGTGGGACCTGCAAACGCACGTGTAGGCGTCGCGACATTCTCGAAGCTCTCGCTGTGGGACACGAACGGGCCTGTAGCGCAGTGGAAGAAGCTCCGAGAAATGGATGTGCTTTAAGCACAAGCCCGAAATGGATTGGGAAAGTGCTAGGACCACCAGAGCAGTGCAACCGCAGCTTGGTGGAGTTGGGATGGGTCCTCGGCGGAAGGGTGCATGATGCGCTGAACGGGCAGCACGCTGAGCACAGCGGAGCCTGCTTGCATGCGGCACGAAGCGAGTGTTCGTTCTGCTCAGATGTTCGGGTAAGCAGATAACTCTCACATCCGACAGCGCTGCGGCGAAGCACTCACCAAGGAGCTGGGGAGTCGCTGACGGCGACGCTAGGACTTTGATGGACAAGGCACTGGCGTATGGCGCGCCATCAGCGTCCACACAGGCATTTTGTTGAAAGAAGACAATGCCACTCGCCGCCGCGCTTTGGGGATCGCACACGCTTTCCCAATCGGGCGTGGCATTGTCCGAGCTAGTGGATGGAAACATTTCCGCGTCGCGCTTAATGCAATCCACGCGGACGAGACGCCTGTATTCGGGCTCAGCATTCTCCTCTGCATCATCGTCTGCGGCTGCTGTCGCTTCGCCTGTGTGCGCTGTGAGCTGCCATTCGACCGAGGCGCCCCTGGGCAGTGAGCCAGGCGGGAGCGTGACGTACGCGATGGGCGGCGCCACTCCCTGTGTATGTGCCTTGCTGCCAAGCCACTCAAGGTGCCAGCGCTGATGCACGGGCATCTCTTGCACTCTGTCGGTAACCTCATCGATTGCAACCTGCGATTGCCAGAGAGCGTTTGCCTTTTGATCTAAGTGCAGGCCGTCCGCACCCTCGTCAAGCCAGCAGATGCCGCCTTCGACCCAGTGAGCGCCCGGAGCCAAAATTGCGCGCTGCTCTAATACTGCGTGGAGGATAAGCCTCGCATGCTGTAGCGAGAGCAGCAGCTGCATGTCTGCGTCTGGCGGCAGGGACAGGTCAGCCGGGCGGAGGCCAATCTGACCCGCAATTGTGATTCGTTGAGCCGCCTGCGTGTTGCTCGTGGTCAGTCAAAACATCTCAAAGCTGCTGCTGAAGTGAAGCTGGTCATACGCACCACGACAGCTTGAGAATAAGGGCCAATGTTGGCTGGCGCCCAGTAGCTCCTTCCCTGGACGTGGAGCGCTCTGCGCAAGTCTTGCGGGCGAGCGGCTGCCTCGCCCTCTTGAGCATCGCCGCGCCAGCCAAGCACTTCTAAGGTCACTCTGGCAGACGCTGCCGAGCCAAATGCAATACAGGCTCTTGTCGGAGGGGAAGCACCGAATTGCTGCTTGTAGACGGCGTTGACGCGTTGAAAGTCTTGCTGGCTCTGCAGATAAAGGTTTACGTGTACGAGGTCTTCCATGCGGCAGCCGCGCTCTTTCAGAAGCGCTGCGAGAGCGAGCAGGATCAGTCGGTGACGCGGTGAGGCTACTTGCATGCGACACTCACAATCGAGGTTCGCAAAAGCACCTTTGACCTCATCTTCAAGCGAATCGCATGGACCATTACTGCACACGTTGGCGGCGGCAAACCAACCATTCTCTGAGAGTGAAATCTGTGGTAGAGGGTTACCGAGCGCGTGCACTGACCGTGTATCCACTTGGCCGACCGCATCCGCTGCGGCCGCCTTTGAGAGGCTGTCGCCAAGCATCGCGCTCAGTCCGTCGAGATTGTCTGGCGCCTCCAGCGCAGCGAGGGACCTAGGTACCTTTTCCACCAGCTGCGCATGCTTTACACGCAGGTACGAGACGGACGCAAACGCGGCATCGGCGTGGACGATGGTCTCCACCTCTTGGAGGCGTATTCGTTTCTTGAAGAGTGGGGAGTCGAGCGTAAGCGTCTCGTACTCTCCGCCTTCGCCACAGATGTGTGCGCCGTAAAGGCTATTCTGGAGAGAGCAAGTAAAAAGTCAGCGAGGGAAGTGCGGTGCACATGCGCTGCGATAAAGCTCACGAGTTTGTGCAGCTTGGGCCTCATCTGGGCCAGGCTCTTGCCGAGATCGCGCTCATCGAGGCCGATTCCCGCGACCTTGATGAGGACAGCATCGATGCCAGCTCGCACCATTTCATCAAGCAGATCTGCCTGATTTCGTTGCCACAGAAAGGTGAGAGGGACAAGGTTGATGTCTGGCAGCAGGGCGACGTGCTCGACGCGCACGCGCTGATAGTTGCTCAGGATGGCGCCAACGCTAACAGCTTCGACGTCGGGATGTTGCGCCTTAACTTTCAGCAGCAGTTCGTATAGGTCTTCGGTCTCGTCTTTTTCCTTTTCTTTGCCGTTTGCATTGGATGCAATGGACGGAAGCTTGGCCTGGGAGAAGGACGGCATACGACTGCCGTATTGGGCGCCTTGATTCACAGCCGTGCCCGTAATGACATGCCGGTACAGGGGCAGGCCCATGGCCTCAGCCACCAGATGCACTGCATCGTGTCCGACCGTCTGGTACATGTACGAGTCGAGCTCATCTTGAGCAAGTAACAAGTGCGTATGCGAGCGTTTCAGAGCAAGACATGTAAGGGTGTTAGTCTTGTCGGCTCACCTGTTCCTTGCGGCGGGGCGAGGGTGGCCAGCGCGACAATCTCGTGCCCATTCTTGACGCAGTGACATAGGTTGTAGCAGGAGTCTTTGCCGCCAGAAAGCAGACCCACGACCTTCATCTTGGCCTACTCCTCGCCCATAGAATAAACTGTAAAGAGGCAAGCACCGAAATAAAAGCTGGGCAGCGAACAAGATTGTCAATGGTGGTCGGACGTGGCCGCGGCGGAACTGCCGGCATACTGAGCCGAGCACCACTTGCGTTTTCAACCTCGGGCTCTTTCTCTCGCTGCTTGGTGCCTGTTGACCTTGTTCAATTCGAGAACGTTACCACGATGTTCGCGAGGCGGAGGCAAGCATCGAAGGGTCAGTGACATCAAAAACAACATGGCTGACTCGACAGAATCGACTTTTCGCTCGCATCTTTCGGGCTTTCGATGGGCGCAAGGACGGACGGACGACAGCCCCGCGGGGCGAGCAGCCGCCGCAACCACTACGACGAACACGGGAGGCGCAGGCAGCTATTTGTCGACCTTTTCGAATAGCATCTCCGGTTATGTGCCGCTACGGAGCAACAGCCGAACAGACGAGGAGGAGGCGTATCTCAGCTTGAGCAGATGGGAGCGGTGAGTCTCACCGACATACCAGCACGCTTCTACTTGGCGTTCATCGGTGTTTACAAGACATTCTCCTCATTTTGCGTTGTTGCAGGCTCTTAGGATTCTTTGCGTGTCTCATCGGATCAGCGATATGTTTTTTCTTTAGTTTCATCTTTCTCAACCCATTTTACTTGGCGATCAAGCCGCACAAGTTTGCGTTTGCCTTTTCCGCAGGAAGCATACTATTTATGTTCGGGTGCGTGTGCACGCCGCTTGTTGCACCCGCAAGTGCTGACCAGCACGATCTGCAGATTCTCCATTCTATCCGGGCCAGTGGCGCATTTCAAGCACCTCACGCAGCCACAGAGGCTTCCCTTTACCGCGGCGTGAGTAGGGCAATGCGGGCGTGATGACCTCCCTCACCGCTTATCAAACGCGCGCACTTGCAGATACTTTGCGTCCCTCGGGCTGACTCTCTATTTCGCGCTTGGCCCCAAATGGGTCCTGCCGACGATGGCGGCCGCAGCGGTGCAGATTGTTTCACTGGTTTTCTACCTCGCTGCGTACTTCCCTGGTGGGACAACGACGCTACGCTATGGAGGGAGCATACTCATCCGCGGCGGCACGAGCCTGCTGCCGATATGAGCGCCGAATCTGTTGTAGAAGCCTTTCATCATGCGTACAGTACAAGGATGCGAGCAAAGCGGTGTGCGCGAGATGCGCGATGCAGGAGCTCGATGAGAGAAAGGACGGCTATGAGCTCTCGCTAGCCGGATCGATGCCGTTGAGAGTGCCGTTCGAGTCCTTGCTGGAGCTGCCTGCGGCTCCATTTGGTTGCGCCAGCTGCCAAGCTGGGATGCTCGGCTTGACGGGCGGCGGGAGTGCGTACCCCTTGGCGGGAGACGCGCTGCCGCTGGATGATGCGGCGAGCGCATCGCTATCCTTGGATGCGCCATATGTTGGCGTGGATGTGCGCCCGATGGCGGGGATGCCGCTTGGCCCTGCAGCTGCAGCGCCGCGCGACACGAGCAGCGTCTTGAGCGACTTGAGCTCGGCTTGCACCTCGGCCAGCGATGATGTCTGTGCCTCGCGGTGCTTTTCGAACATCTGCAGATAAGGAACATCAGAATGCGCGTGGCTTCCGGCGTGGCATGCCAGCACTCACCTTCGGCATGCCATCCCTGATGCGGTCCACCTCTCGTTTCATGTCCGACATGTCGTCGTCGCGCTTCTTTTCGCCGTTGCGGACGAGCTTGACTGCATCCTCGACCTCCTTGAGGCTGGTCTCGACGAGCTCTTTCTGCGAGTCGAACCCGCTCTTGATGCCGGCCGACTCTTGCTCGAGTGCGGAGAGTTGTGCAGCTACCTCGTCGTACTTGGCTGTCAATGCTTCCAAGTCTGAATCGAGGATCGTCGCATTGGGTGGTTGCAGATGAGGGTACAGGTATTTCTAATGGCATGAAGCCGTCAGCCTTCGACCCACAGTTTCGCTTCCACACGACTCACCCGAGCAAGGTTGATGATACCATAGCCAATGGTCCCAGAGACAACAGCCATGATGAACCAGTCCCTCCAATCTCGGCCGAGCTGTTGTGCTTCCGGCGGGTATGGGAACCTGTAGGCGGGGTACGGACCTGGTGTGGTCCTCGCCACGACGCCGCCCCCAGCCTGCGCCATGGCGGCATCGATCTCGCTGGGAGAGAGGCCTTTTGACTCAAGAAAGGAGACTCTTTGCGAAAGTGGTGCGTTGCTGACTTTTGGGTCAGTGAGAAAAGCGACTGCGGAGGAGATAGCCTCGGGTCGCAGTGATCCGGCGTGCGGTGCGGGGCCTGCGCCTGGCATCGCCGCCGGAAAGCTGGATGCGTCCGACATGCTAGCAGCAGCAGTGGCCTGTGTTGGAGCCAAGGTCGCGAGTGGTTCCAAGCGTGTCTGTTTCGCAAGCAGAGCCGAGCGGCCGACGCTCTGAGATGAAGAGATGTTGGGAGGGATGGAAAGTAGCACTTGGTGTGCACTACGCGGTAAAGAGATTGGAGAACCGGTTCAATGCGCACGGCGCAGCCGGTGCCGCGGGGTGTGAGAACAAAAAGAAATGTGACCGGGGCGAAACATCACCCGAGTCTACGAGCTTATATTCGATTGGTATTGGCTACTGCTAGTCTCAGAGCCTTTGGGCATGCCGCTAGACGCTGTGCGCATTCCGAATACCACCCGTGCAAGTTCGGTGAGCGCCGCAGTCATGGCGAGCCAGGCGGTCTTCGAGCTGTTCGAGTCGTTCCGACTAGAGCTTCCTGAAAGCTCCCAACCTGGTCCATCTGCGCAGCCTCCATCCAATTCTTTGGACGGCTTCTTTTACATTCCCAATTTCATTTCCGATGAGGAGGAACGCTATTTGATGGACAAGGTACGTCGGTTGCTCTGCTCGTATGGAGAGTCTCGCTGAAAGAGGGCTGCCGGTGCGCATGCGGGCTTACAGGTTGCGACGGCGCCGCTCCCTAAGTGGAAGACGCTGCAGAATCGAAGGTAATCACAAGCAAAGGTTGGCTGCTGCACGCCTGACACTGACACTCCTCGTCCAACCGGAGCGGACGCGAACTCGGCAGGCTGCAATACTGGGGTGCGTCTCTCCAGCTACCACCACCGATGGTTGTGACTAAGCGATGTTGCTAGTGCAGGCGGGCAGGTGCAGCGAGAAACGTTGATCCCCGAGCCACTACCGTCGTTCCTGACGACGTACCCGCCACTGATACAACGAATCAAAGAGACGACTCCAGCTTTTGCTTCCAGCAAGCACGGCGAGCCAAATCACTGTCTGGTGAACGAGTACCTTCCCGGGCAGGGCATCATGCCGCACGAAGACGGTCGCGCTTACTTTCCTTGCGTCGCGACCATCAGCCTCGGCTCGCATACCCTGCTCGACATGTATCGATGGGCGCAGAACGATGTGCCGCCAGAGGGCGATCGCGGTGCGAGAGCACGCGAAGCGGAGCCTGTGTTTTCCATCTTGCAAGAACGCAGAAGCCTGCTTGTCACGACCGGTGCCGCGTATCATGACTACCTGCACGGCATCGCAGAACGGCATACAGATGCGCCCGAGCACCTCGCAAAGGTCGTCAACGTCGGGCGCCTTGCAGACAAGCGAATCGAGCGCGTCATCCACCGCGCAGCCGAGGGTAACGCACACGAATCGCTCGCCCGCCAGACCCGGCTCAGCTTGACGTTTCGCGATGTCGAAAGGGTCAGCAAAGGCTTGGGCGCCCTGCTCAGCAAAACGAAGCGATGATTATGTTTCCGCTTGATCTCGAGAAAGCGATGCCACCTTAGCTCAGGAAAGCGCCGCTGGCGTTTTGCAAATGTGTCAACATCAGCAAGCACAAGGCCAAATACAGCTACTATTTCGGAAGGCTCGGCGAGTGCACCATGTGATACTGGTACAATGTATGACGTGAATTCATATCTATGATTGATGCCGCGCCAACATGCTCAAGTTGTATCCTGCTTCCGCACGTGCCGGCTTCCCGTGCATGCAGGGTGATAGTTCCCTTTGCACCTCGGTCGAAACGCCAATTTGAACTTTGCGGGATGTGACCACAGGAAGAGTTGCAAACTGAGTGGCACTTGTATCCACTGACATTTTTGTCCTTTCTCCGGAACATCTCAAGTCAGCTATTAGCCAGTCTCCAGGCCCATTCCCGTCAAGTGCGTTGCACCCCTCGCAGTTGATTCCCTCATGGCCACCCCTTCAAGAAGGCTGGACAAAGAGAAATTTCTTGCGGCCCTGTACAGTTGCGACTGCATCGGTAAAGCTGCAGCATGCAAAGCGGTGAAGCCAAAAAAAATACCGACTTGCGTGAGGTAAAAAGTAGCGTCTCTCGGTCTTGATCCGAGGACATTTGGGTGCCACTTTCAAGTTAATACTTGAATTGTATGAGCCCAACACTCTACCGACTGAGTTAAGACGCTTACGAAGGAGCTTGCCAGTCTAATTAATATGTATGACTAGCTTGGTCCAGCACACGCCAAGAAAAAATATTAGCGTCTCTCGGTCTTGATCCGAGGACATTTGGGTAGCTACTCCAAGGATATCTTGCAGCATATATGAGCCCAACACTCTACCGACTGAGTTAAGACGCTGTAGATATAATAGAACCAAACGGAAGACCCATATCACCGCCGTTTATGATGACTGTAATTTACGTTTTACAAAGTTCTTCCATTTGTGGTGATCACTGAGAGATCTAAATCTTTCAAAGGAACCACCAGTACAGTCAAATACCGGAGCGCTGAAAAATCCGGCCTACATGGTATTCCGGGGAATTATGTAGCGGTACCCTTTAGTAACTTGCCCAGTGTTTCAGTGCTGCACTCCTGAAGCATCATCATTCATATGCCACCGAACTGGCAGTGAACATGTGTGATGTGAAAGAAGAGTGTTTAGTGTGCGGCCCGGCACGGCTTACGCCACCCAAGATAGTGGATGCATTGTGGGCCTTGGCTCCAAGTACTGACTGTCCTTTCATCCGAGCCTCCGCCCAAATTCAATTTCTATTGCTATCGCTTTCTCGTGTCACCGTCTTATGTAGTCTACAGCTAGTGCGCTTAATCGTTCTCAACTCTTTTGGCCTACGCTGCACGGCAGTTGTTACGTGAAATGGATGCATCGCATCTTTCGCTATCACTTCGAGCGTCTGATTGTGAAGTTGATACAAGGGTATGTCCCGCCGAGCGGATCCTACCGGGACCATGCCTATAGTGCCACGCACGGTGCCTTGTCAACGGTCATGTTCCCCGCTAGCAGTTCCAGCCGTGTTCTTATTCGGAAAGGACACTCTGTGTGTGCAGCGCCGGCGTCTGATCGTGTGCACCTGTAACCCAGTACCTTCGCTACAAAAGTGATTGTCAAGCTTCACTCTGTTGATGCCGAACATTCGCTAGCGGTAAGATACATTCTGCCTGCTTCAGCGCGCCGTTTGCAGACCGACGACTGACCTATCCTTTGTGCTGTGTGCAAGGGAAATTACCTCTTTTAATGCCCGCATTCTGGGCGCCTGGCACACATCAGACGGTTCGAACGAACAAGTCGAAAAGCATCAACTCGCCTTGCTCAGTTCTGTCCTTATCCAGAATGCACGTTCTAGCCTCTTCGTTTCCAAGACGCAATATGTATTGCAGGCTCACCAGAATGCAGGAGCAAAGGAAGAACGAACGACATCACTGACGCCGAGTCCATGGGTGAGTGACTGCAATTCGTACAGACCGGAACCAAAATTGTACGGGTCCTGCTGACGTCAATGTCGGACGTCAGCGATCTCGCCGCCGTGTCGCGTCGAGTGACGGCTTAGTAAGGCTCCAAGACAGCAGATGCAGAGGGTTGGAAAAGTCAGCCTGTTGTCATCGCACTGACGGACCGAACACGTGGCCGCAACGACTGCTCGGTAGCTCCGCAGCTTGGAGAATGAGCGCATGCCGCATACGCCCGGAGTGGGATCACGGCAAGACCACCTGCTCATAGTGGCTTGGTGCCCCAGCAAGACCAGGCAGGTCCGCTTCCTTCGCGTACAGCATGCATTTGCATGTGCATGCACCCCACATGACCTCACGAGCGCCGCGACTGGGAAGAGGCCATATGCATGCAAACGCATGTCTTGCGCAGAGGAAGCAAGTCCACGGTAAGCACGCTGCCTTGCGCAGCAGCATGACCACCACCACTACTACTACCATGACTACGACAACACCAGGTACCTTCACCATGCTACTAGAAACCATCATGTGGGTGCATAAGGCACGCTAAGATCGTCCATGCCGTTTGCTGCGGTGGGCCACACACCGCTAGGGACGCGGACCGGGCCGCCGGCAAGGGCTGCCATGCTCGCCACCACTGTAGGAGCAGGCAATCAGCATTGTCTCCCGTCGCTGACAGCTGCGAACACTGGCGGCAAATACGCTGACCAGATCTTCGACAGCTATGTCTGCCTGTTGCTGGAACAAGGCCGCGGTGAGAACGCTGCCTTGCACCCTCAGTGATCACTTCCGCCTGCATTGAATCGGACACACCTCTTTTTCCTCGGCCTCGCCAGTGCTCTGGGTGTCTGCTCCAAGGGGCAACATAATGCGTGTGTGAGGCGACGCTCCCGCCTTGGCCTCATCACCCGCGCATCTGCATGCGCACCAGGGCCGCTCCAGCTCGTCCGACGGCAAAAGAGTGTCGCTGTTGCAGGAGTCCCCCTGCATATACCACGCGGGTCAACTGGGCCAAGCCTTGAGCCATGCGGCGGTCCGTCTGCACTCTGCTTGCACGCTAGGGTCATCCCCGTGCCAGAGCTCGATGATAGAGGTATCTGTCTGCTTTGGCTGCCGGGCTACATGCAAAGGCCAAAGCACCAGCGGCGTTGCTGCTGCACTGATGGATTCAACTGTATCAAGACCAAGGGAACCCTAAGTTCTCCTGCATCCTGGTACCTTTGACTTGACCCCACCAAGTCTGCCGCTCCAAGCTGGAAAGCTCGGCGCGGTCAGCAACGCCCGCAGCGCAGGCGCAGCGCCATCATTTATACACATAGCGCTTGCCTACTTCCACCCTCGCGTGTTCATCGTCCATGATATCCTGTGTGCGCCAAGAGCAGACATGAGGCTGGCGAGTTGCCTTTGAACACAAATGATTCGTCTTGAGCGTCCAATCTCGTGCTTGGCAGCCCGAGTGAAAAAGAAATAAATACACCTGCGCCACCTACAGAGGATGACGGTGAAGATCAGTCGACGGCCATCAGATGATAGCGTGCAAGAGCAGGCGCCGGAATACTTGAGCAGCTTCGGAAGGATTGTTCAACTTGAAGCTTCGGATTGCAAGCTGCAGTCACTTTCTATGTATATAGCAAAAGCGGTGCATTACAGGTGCGCCAGATCGAACGACGATGCGCGGTAGCGCTTACGGCATGTCTTCGCCAAAGCCCAAACCATTTGCGGCGTCGCGTGCCACCATGGGAGCAGTCTCGGTAGGATCCGCTCGGCCAAATGTAGGCCCCGTCTAAGAAAAAAGCGAACAAACCGTGGGTCAGTACGACCCTCGGGAACAAAGTGTGTTGGTGAAAATCTCAGTTGGTGCTGTTGAAGGCGGACACATTTGTCAGCTGACAGCGTCGGGGATCGGTTTGCGTAAGACTCACGTGCATGAGAGCTAGGATCATCGCCCTGCGCGACTGCGCAAGGCTCACCATGCTCGAAAATGTCGGGAATCGAAATCATCATCAATGTGAGACGCAGTCGCAGCACTTACGTTCTCGAAAAGCTGCCTGCATCTGTCGACGGACACTTTGGTCAGCAGGCGAACACAGGAAGGGACATGTGTGAAAGAGATCATAGAGAAGATTGACAACGTCACGGGTCTGGAACAACGCGCGCCGTGGCAGCCGTTGGGTACTGCGTGGTGCAGCTCTTGGAGGTCGAGCCTCAGGAAGCAAACCAGCCTGCAAACGGCCCACATGTGCCTTTCCTCCCGCCGCCTCACAAGAGGTATCGTAGAATAGTCGGCCACATGTTAGCCGGCGCGGCAGAGGTGCTTGCAAGAGCGCAGCGCGCAGCACCCTTGGACGCACCGCGGTGCGGGGAACAGCGTGCGCTGCCCCTCGCAGGCGAAGCACAGACATCAGGGAATGGATGATAACTTTTGTAATCACCTCGTGTGGATTGTATGGATTAACACGTACCGGCCATAGGCTTGAACACACAAGTCCTGTAACGTAAGCCGTGCGCGTCAGCAAGAGTTCGGATTGAGATTTCTTCGAGGTAGAGCGTCATATAAAGGTAAGCTTGGTAGTTGTTGTCCTCAGCAGGGAAATCCCCGATCGGAAGCAGAACTGTATAATAATTGTGTAGAATCATCCAGAGGGACTCGGATCGGAGCTCACCTTTCGCTTTATGCAGCCTCCGCATATGCGGGGTCGACGAGGGGTGAGCGTCTCAGGTCCCACACGTCCTCGCTGCTTGACTGCAGGCGCTTGGCCGCGCTTTGCTCTGCGCGGCGCTCGATCCACACCTGCCGCCGCTCTTCGTTCGACATGCCTTTAAGGGTAAGGCAGAACTTGAAGTCGTCCAGCTTGTCCTTGCAGTCTTGAAAAGTGCCATAGCGGTAGAGCGCTCGAGCTTGAGGGCCGAGGGCTGTTGTGCAGAGCAGAAAACTGTCAGTCTGGGAACGTTGTAGATTAAACGGCGCCTTAGCTCACCAAAGCAGGTCGCCCACTTGTCGAAGAGGTTCATGCAAGACGGCATGTTGGCGAGGGGAAGCGCGGCTGCCTGCAAGATGCGCTCGTCCTGCACCGCCTCATTATATTTGCTGTTGTATTCCATGGCTGTCCAGCCTCTGCGGAGTCTGCCAGCGCTCACCGATAACTGCTCACATTCCTGATAAGCACCGCGGCAGATAGCGCTTGCGGTGGAAGGAAGAAGAAGAAGGAGTAGTGAAGGAGGAAGAGAAAGAAAAGAGGCACGAAAAGCAAAGAGCAAATTTAAGTCAAAACTTACAAGGTGCAAATTGCCGAGCCGCGAAGTATATGGTTAGGGTTGTTATGTTCTTGTAAATCGCGTCTCACTTCCCCAGCAAAGCCGACTCCATAGGGTGCTCCCCTTCAACCTCGGACTGCCTGCCACACTTATTCTCATGATAGACTTCATCTGGCAATGTCCACCTAGTTTGCACAACCCAGTCACAAGCTAGGCAAGCTCCGTCAGCACTATGGCTGTCGCAACAACTGTCCTGGGGTATGCCGGGCTCGGCTTCCTCACGCGCTGCTATGCGCTCGGCATCCAGAAGCGAAATGTCCTGGAGAGTGAGTGACCTCCCGCGCCGAATTGCTGACCCGGAGCCAGTGCGCGCAACGGTTGGATCCAGCTCGCTGATTACCATCGCTGACACTGGCGGCCTTCTTGGCAGACCTCGGCGGACATGCGATGCTTATGACCGTCTTTGGCGCCGCTGGATACTACTTGCACGGCGTTGAAGGGCGGCAAGCCGAGCTGATTCAGCAAAAGAAGGAGCAGATCCTCAAGAACCGGCAGCGCATGGCCGGCGAGGCACCTCAAGACGATGCATGAGTCGGCTGAGCAGCCCTTCTGCACGCAGCAGGCACCCCGCTCCATCTTGCGCTCCACAAGCCAAGGCCTCACCGGCGCGCCGCATAATCGCAGCGGCGAACCACGAGAAGGATGAGATAGGACCTCGCATGCAGGACGGCACTCGGAGCGCGAGTATGCAGACACCGGCCGTCGTAGATGCGCTCCAAGAAAGGCGCGGTACAGAGGACACTCGATTGTAGCATCGATATGTGAAAAAGTCACTGGCCGAGTCATGATTGTTGGATGGGTGTGACTACTTTTTCTATACTCTTACGATTGCTGCCTGTCAAGTTCACTGATGCTTACGTTGGCAGCACGGCAGCGGCGCGTATCAAAATCCCAGCTCCTCCCTCCTGAGCAGCGTACCGTTGGCCCGCCGCTGCTGGCGCCACGTGGGCAGCAAGCGCCATCCCTCGGGGCCCCTGGGCGCTCCGCCGCCCTTGCCGTCGCTCGCCTGCGTGAATGTAGCGTCCCACTCTGGCAGCGTGACATCCTCCGGCGGGACAAAGTGGCGCAGGAGACCGTCTGTGGTGGCAGGAAAAGAGAGGCAGAGATAGGAAGAAGCGTTAGGCTTGGTGTCTTCTGCACGCAAGCACGTCTGTGCGCTCACTTGTATACGCCGTGTCGCTCGGCGTGCCCATGTCGTGCAGCATGAGCGTGTCTGGTGGTGCCTCGGCCCCCCCGGGCGGCAGCGGAGATACCCAGCGCGCCGGGTCATTCGGTGGGAAGCGCGGGTCGAGCTTGGTGAGCGGTGGTGCACGGCCGGCCCAATGCTGCGCGAGGTAGCGCGCTTGGACTTGTGCAAACGGGAAGGGGACGATGCGTACAGGCGCGCCGAGGACGGCGAGCGAGCCGTCGAAGCGATAGCAAAGCTGCCAGTCGTCCAAGTTCGCCAGGGCCGGCGCCGTCGGCCATTGCCGCCGGAAGGGTGCATGCACCCGCGCGCGCAGCGCGGCTGCGTCTGCCGCTGTGAGTAGCTCGCGAGGCGGTGGCATCGGGACGAGCGGATGCGAGCAGAACGGCGGCTTGCTCTGGTCGAGGAATGGAAAGTCGCTGTGCAGGGAGGAAGGGCGTCAGCGCACTGCCATCGCAGCTCCCAACGACGCACTGCCGAGGCTTACTAGGCAAAGCCGGTTGCAAAGATGATCACATCGATCTGGTCAAGGACGCTTCCATCGACAAGGTAGATGCGTGCCGCGTCGATGCGCGCAATGCGCGGGACGACGCGGATGAGCCGGCTCCACGCGGGGCTCGCCGCATCGCGCGGGTCATAGTCGAGCGGCGGTGGTGCGTCAATGTCGATCACGCTCTGTGTCACACTCCCACCGTGCGCGAGCGTCCCCGCGCCGTTGCGCCATGCTTCCGTCGCTGCACGCATGTGCGCGGCGCCGTCGGCGCCGGCGTATGGAGGCTCAGCGGCTGTCGGCGCGGGGAGGACGCGCGCCGCGTTGCCGACAAGCTCGCGGCAGATGTCCATGCCGGACGACATGTTACCAAGCACGAGGACGTTCTATGGCGGGTAAATGAGGGCAGGAGTGAGCGGAGCGGCGGGAGAAAACAAAAAGCAAAAAATAACAAAGGGTCGCTCTGACCTTGCCCTTGTAGTCGTACGGCGTGCGGTACCAGGCGCTGTGCAGGACCTGACCAGTCCAGTTCCACAGGCCCGGGATGTACGGTATTGAAGGCGTATTGCAGCGGCCTGATGCGAGCTGGTGCAGCGTGGGGAGTTACTCGGTCAATGGCCTGGCACTTCTGCCGCGCTTGCTGAAAGGCGCGCTGGCGACGCACCACGATGTGATCAAACTCTTCGCGCCTGCGCTCGGGCGCTGGGTGCTCGCCGCTTGGATGACACTCAGCCGGCGCCTCACTCTCAACCACCCAGCGCGATGGGGACGAGGGCGCGTCGTCCTCCGCAGGCAGCCGGTAGACCTGCGCGACGCGCGTGTTCAGCCGGACGTCGACGCGGCTAGTGCCGAGGACGCGCTGCGCAAACTCCTCGAGGTAGGACTGCACGACGGCACGCGGCGGGAAGAGTGGCGTTCCCTCTGGAAACGGCGCGTCGCGGTACGCCATCAGGTCCTGCGGCATAGAGTCCCTTCCCGCCCCCCCAAAAGATGGGTGATGCACAAGTAGCGAAGCGGAAGGGATGGGAAGGGATGGGAAGGGCGCCCGTGAGCCCATGACTGACGGAGACGAGCGCCGGCACTAGACATACCGACGGAATGTTGGTTCGCAAGCCTTCGTACATGGGCCCCGGCGATCGGTGCTTGAGCTCGTATCCCCCTACTTCTTCATCGTCGTTTCCATATGCATGAGCTGGCGCCCAGGTGACGGCGGGCGTCCCGTGCGGGTCAAAGACGAGGCGGCAGGCGCCTGGATGGGGGTCGTACAGCCAGATTCCTCCGACGCGTGGGCGGCGCTCATAGAGCGTTACGGCGTACTGAATGCGCGGGCCCGCCTCAGCGTGTGCAGATGAGACGGCGCAGAACTCGTTCGCGGCGGCGAGGCCAGCGCTGCCTGCGCCGATAATGGCGACACGCTTCGCCTCTGTCTTTTTGTCTGCAGCGGGCATGCTGCTGGCTGGCAACGGTGCGAGGGCGGGACAAGGAACGAGCTGTTTCTGCCCCGTCCTTGTTGCCTTCGCTGCGCGAACATGCCTGGCCTCTTCCATGGCAAAGATGTTGGTGAAGCATGTGGATGAGTTAGACCTTCTAAAGTTGCTTACGTCAGCACACAAGGCTGGGTTTCCATGCCCCTCTTTCGACCCGTGTCAGTGTATATTTAATTTGTATGCATATTATATGTCAGTGTGTGTGAACTGCAGATTGCTTTAGGGTTAGGGGTTTGGCTTGACATGACACTGGTGCCGTGCAGTGCTGTTCTGGACTGTAAACTGTGTTATGCAATCCATAGTAACGTGGCGATGAGCACCCCAAGTTCTTTTCTTCAGCCCAGCCCAGGTGGCAGCGGTTCGCACCACAGTTCAGTTGCGGCAGCTGCTTCATCGGCACCCTCAGCGTCTAACAGAGAGCTTCGTCGTAGGGAGCGCGCACACACCAGCACATATGCGGGCATACATACAGCCAGACAGCCGTACAGAAGCTCACAGCTTGTACCCAGGGCCAGTCGCCGCCGAAAGCGCAATGACGCTCCCGCAGCTCATGCACCAGATGCACGTCCCCGCCCAGCTCCCCACCTACGACCAGAAGCAGTGGGGGCGCGGGCGGCGGCGACTTCAAGGCAGCGACGATGAAGACGGCGATGGCGATGGCCAGCAGGCCGTGCATCTTTGCCCATCCTCGCCCAGCTCAAGCTCGACCTTCCATTTGCAGCACCCATCCGCAAAGGCACCGCCGCGCCGCAACGGCGGGCATCGCAGCAGCAAGGGAAAGGCTGCCGCCTGGCTCTCCGCGGGATGTTTCTGCCTGGCGGCGCTCGTGTGCTGCGCCGCCGTGCCCGGCGCGCTGGCGTCCGAGGGGGACCGCTCCCTCGAGTACATCTCGTGCGTCAAGTCACGCTTCAACGACGTCTGTGGCCCGGACGGCGTCGACGACGGCTTCACCGGCCGCCCCGAGCCTGAGATACACCCGGACTCGACATGGCTGCCATGGATCCTGCGCGTTACGCGCTGGGACTGTCTCGACGACACCAAGTACCACTGCACGCACAAGGTCACCAACGACGCCGCGCGCCACGTCCAGCTGCTCCGCCAGCAGGTCCACGATAGCGTTCGCCTCGCCTCGGGCGCCCAGACTGTTCCGTCAGCCGTGCTGCGAAAGCGTGAAAAGGAACTCTTCGATGCCGAGCTGGCGAAGCTGCCGCCCGTACAGAAGCAGATGGTCCAATTCTACGGCAAGTGGGTCTTTGTCCGCCTCTGTGGTGCCCAGGAGCCGCTCTCCGCCCTGGCCAGTCTGCTCAACCTTTGGGTACACGCCGCGGCACTCCTCAAGATCCGTCGCCAGATCCCTGATGTCTTTCCGCTCAAGCTCGTCTACATCTCTCACGCGCTCATCAGCATTAATGCATGGACCTGGAGCGCTGTTTTCCACACGCGCGACAAGCCCTTGACCGAGAAGATGGACTACTTTTCCGCCGCCAGCGTCCTCCTCTCCGCCCTTTTCTTCACCGCCTGCCGCCTCTTCCGCCTCGCGCCGTGCACCCGTCCGTTTGTCACACTGCTCCGCGCTATGGCTGCCGCGTTCACACTTCACGTGCTCTACCTCTCCTTTGCCCACTTCGACTACGGCTACAACATGACCGCCAATGTGCTCGTCGGCCTCGCCCACGTCACCCTCTGGGCCGTCTTCAGCGTCCGCCCCGCCGTCTTTAGTGGCATCGACCCGCGCGGCGACCGCTTCAGCTCGGCGCGTTCCGCCATGCGCGCCAGCAAGCCGCGCAGCGCTATCGTCTCCACCGCCGCTGCCAACGCGTCCAGCAGTGCCATGTCAATGCACCACCACCACGTTACTGCTACCACCACCTCCAGCAGCAGCTCGCATCCGGGCTCGGATGCGCACTCGCACTCGCATTCACCGCCCGCGCCTGTGTCCTCCTCTCTGGCGGCGCACCGCCTCGCGACGCCCGAGTCGCGGCGCATGCTGCAGATGCTTCTGCTCGGCACGGTCGCTGCGACGCTGCTTGAGCTGCTTGACTTTCCGCCGCTGTGGCGCTTTGTCGACGCGCACGCTCTCTGGCACCTTGCCACCGTGCCCCTGACGTACGCCTGGTACGACTGGCTCATCAACGATGCGCGCGCGTGTGTCGGCAGCGGCTGGTGGATCGGCGACGGTGCGCTCGCCTTCGACATCAGCCGCGCCGCCGCGAGCAGGGCCAGCAGCGTCGCGCGCGCGCTCCTCCCACCCGCCGCGAGCGCAGGCGTCGAGAAAGTTGTCACGCGCGTCGAGCCGCTGCTGGACAAGCTGCGCGTGCTCCTTGCCACGATCCTCCGCGGCCGTGCCGACGCGCAGTACTTTGAGCGCATCGACATTGGCGTGGTGTCCAGTAAGTTCAGCGAACTCGCCGAGCGCGCCGGTTTCGCCAGCGCGAGTCGCGCCGGCATAAGAGGGGAGGCAGATGCATCAGCGGAAGGAGGCGCTTGCGCCGGTGCCGGCGCAGCGGGGTTACCAGCAGCTTGCGCAGGCTCGTGCCCCGGCAGCATCGGCAGCTACAGCCATCGAAACACGCTCAGTCAGACCAGCACAGGCAGCCATGCGTCTCTGCGGGCGATACCACTGACCAGCGTCGGGCAGGAAAAGGTAAGAGTGCAGACTGTATAGGGTCGCTGCACGGCTTGGGCTCGGAGAAGGGGGTTAGGGGGAGCAGCCAGCGACACTTGGCGGAGCAAGTAGTTTGTAGCCATGGCTGCTCTCGCTGGAAGCAAGCGCGGCATAGAAGCCGCATCACACCACATGTTGAACAGACGATGGACGAAACATTCACACGCGGAAACCTTTTGCAATTCACAACGCGGAGCTGGACTGCTTGCTTTTTTCTTTTCCTTCTTCTTGGAATCGATGCTTTCAAATACGAACTGGCCGACGACAGGTAACACGCTGTGGGCCACGTTGACCGCGCAAACATCCAGCTACCGCGCGCCTCGTTTGGCAGCCGGCTTGCGAATCCTCAAAGCGAGATATGGGACCCTTCGATTCATACCGTTATTCGCAGCACATTATAGAAATACATCTGATAAAAGACCAAAATCAGGGCCATGCGCAACCAAGAAGCAGCAAAGCCAAGAGTAAGAGAGGTGCCACGCGATTGGCTCAAAGGGATATTTTTGCGTCCACGGCGACCCACAAGATGAACCTGAACATGATCGTCGAAGTACCGCTGTATCTGAGGTACTCGATGCAATCGCTTTCGGGCACGGCACGCTGCCAAGCTTGGAGGAGCAAGCTTAGAAGCCTACTCTGACAGGTTACCGCCTCTCCTCCTGCCGGAGCACGGAAGGACACGCCTCGCAAAGCCCTGCATTGGAAACATGCAAGCTCAACCTCAGGCGTGTGGACAACAGACGAGGCGTAAGGTGGCTCACTGACTTGACCAGCAGCTGGAAAGCAGAAGTCTCATAGTTGACCCTTTGTGCCCACTTTCTGGAAGTGCGGGCAGTTTTCGCATAGAGTAGCCCTGCATCGCCATCCAGACTCCGTTGAGGAACGCAGCGATGGTCAGTCTGGCCACAAAAGACCGGCACTGTCGCCACGATCAGCAGAGACTGCATCTCTCTGCGGTGGCGACGCCGAGGTAGACATGGGCGAGCCACTTAAAAAGTACCTGCGGCGGAGTGGAGGCCGATGCTCCAGTATGCAATGACGGCAAAGACGCAGGTGCATATGAGGAGAAAGTGAAGCGTGAGGATCATCTGCGCGACGGTGACTGCACCTGGACTGTAGAGATTATTCTTGCGCTTGCGCACGTAGACAGACCACTCCTCTAGAAAGGCAAGAATGCCCGCAACGCTCTGAGAAGAAATCCGTCCAAAGCCAGCTCGGACATGGTCATCACGCCGAAGCCGGGCACCTACCATGGAGCTCAGGAAAGCCACCGCAAAAATAGACATATAAGCGGTCGTTGTTGCATGAACCCGTGAGGCGATGAGAAAGAGATGCGGCAGGATTTCAGCGTGCACTCTGTCTCCCTCACCATACGGTTGCCTGTCTGGGGCAAGTTGATCCAACCAACGCGAGCATCGCACCCCTATCACAGCACATCCCAAACGGTACACCGTATGTCAGGATATTCCGATTGTAATTGATCAAGTTGCGTTGGGTCAGGAACGTGACTTGCGCAAGGACTTTGCTAGGAGAGTGCATAACCCTCGTCAAAGAACCATCAAGAGAGTGTTCACTATGAGCGGGAACGGTCAGCTTAAAGTGACTCTGCATGCCTCTGCCATGCCAGAGCAAAAGAATTCTGGGTGCCCCTTTTGATGACTCGGTCGGCCGCAGCAATGTGCTCGCAGTCCGCTCCGGACTGGCCGATATCGGCCTTGATGATCCTCATCATGTGATTCGCCGGATAGGTGTGAGATGGGCAGAGATGGTCCAAGTCACTAAAATACGGCGCCACTTCGCTTGGCTTGCCGTAGAACATGATCTTCCCGCTTGCGAGTAGGAGTGTCGAGTCAAAGAGCGAAAATGTATGCCACGCGGGTGAGTACATGGTCACAATAACGATAATGCCTTTCTGCTGAGCGACGCGCTTGATCGCCGGCATGGCCTCGAATCCTGAAGCTGAATTCAACCCCGAGATGGGCTCATCGAGGAAAAGCCGCTGAGGACACGCGACAAAGCCATTTGCGACGGTGGGACAGCGCTTCTGACCACTCGAAATTCCACGAGAGTTAGGCATGCCGATGCGATTGCCGGCGACGCCTAAAATACCTGGATTCGCAACGGTCTCATTCGTGAGCTGGAAAGCCTGCGCTAATGCCAGAGTTGAAGAGCGAGAGTCGTACAGTCTCTTTGAAGGCGAGCACGTCCAGTAGAGCATCTTCTTGCGCGATATGCGAAGAGGGCTGTGGAATGTCAGAAGCCTCAACTTCGTCTGAGCTATTGATGGACGATGTGCCGCCCAACATGGCCTTACGCCCCGCGAGTAGATCTGCAAAGTTCCATGGTAAAAGAACCGTTCTCGACTGGCTTGGATTTTGGAATTTGAGTCTCGAATTGATGGTCGTTCGTGGCAAGAACTTTGTCGATAAATCAGGAGTCAAATGCAGCATAGGCTTGTCAAAAGGGGTGTTGTATCGTCGTCCAGATCAATATGTTGACGAGGTCAAGGTTAAGGAGGCAACGGTGACCAAAGTCTCTGCAATGGTGCATGCGCTGCTCCGCCGGGGGCCTCCGGATAAAATAAGCCGGCAGTTCTAGGATAGAAACGACGAAGTCACCAAAATGCCAGTGAGGGTTTGAGCTGCATGCTATTTAATCTATGTCCACTGGCTTGCAAGTCTCCATTCTCGATGCAACAGGCCAGCAAGCCGCCTCGATGGACCATTTGCTCCGTCGAGGAGAACTAGGTAGGCACACGCGGTTGATATGTATGGCGTAAATATGGCCTAGGGGATGCTTTACGCGTATCAAGCTCACTGTTGCTACTCCCCACCCTCTCATAGCCTAAAGGTGTTGGTCCAAGCAAAGCTTAACGCCCCATGTTTATGGCCTCTCAGCGCTGTAACTGATCAAATATGGCATCCACGCCAAAGTGAGAAACGAGCCGAAGCTAAATGGAATGCCGTTCCTGTCGCGAAGGCAAGCATAAATGCGCTGATACGCCTCCACCTACGGTCCTGTTTAGCCGACACCCACCGCAAGGAGGGGATGCTCTGGAAGGTTGCCTACGCCTGATGTAGGGGGCGGATTTGGTCAGAGAGGCACTTTGTAGCAGGTGCAAGACTGGTAGTCACACATGAACTTGGGTACCGAAGGCAAAACGTGCAAGGCCTAGAAAGAGATCTCGTTCAGCCGACGATCGAGCTTTTGGGGGGAACACGACCAGGAAGCGCAAGCAGTCGATGCGCAGCACATGCTGATTCGCGCTGACACTTGAGCATCAATCATCAATCAACCAGCTGCTCACTCCGGATGATTTCAGAACTTCAACATGTCGGAATTTTTGCCCGATCTCGTCACACCCATTGCTAGTGCTGCAGCTGTCCCTTCCCCCCTATTTGCAAATCGAGCTGGAAATGTCGGTCGACACACCGTCCTGAGGGCTAGCCAGTCGGCCGACTCAATCAAGGATATGCTCCGAAACGACAAGCTGCGGCAGACATTTGCGACGCACGATGCGCTGCCCGCCAGCCACTCGCCCGTTCGCAAGCAGCAGCAGCGTGGGGCTACACCGTTGCCGCGACTGCCATGTAGACCGAACTGGGTGACCAAGCCGCTGCCGCTGCCACGGGTTTTGGAGCGGCGGCAAGCGCTACAAGCACCAGCTTTTCCGCGCCACAATTCCACACTGACGGCGTGATCCGGCGCCACTGTGTGGTCATGAGTAACCTGAGGACGGCGCGGTATGGGCTCGAAGCGATCGCACCGCTGTCCCTTCACGGTCAAGATGGCCGGGGAGATGGACGCGTACCGCAAGCTGGTCGAGAGCACTGGGCCTGTCGGCTTACTGTATCATACATGGTAGATGGTATACGTGCCGTCTTCCGCTTTACTCCTCTTCCATCTCGACTCGTTCGTTCCTATGTGGCAGGTATCTGACAGGACCCACGCGCACGGCAGCCTGCTGCCAGAGGGCGGTGTCGAAGAGCGACGACAACCAGTCGCGGTCAGCAGCAGCAAGCGGAGCACGCCGCTGCGATCTGGAGACGTGCCAACCCTTCGTGGATGGCCGAATCGTGGTCGGCTGCCGGGGCGCGTGAGCCGGTGCAAGCGGAGATGATGCCGCAGAGGATAGCGCCGGTGCCTAGGCGGGCGCCGCTGTGGGCACCTTCCGCGCAGGCAGAAGTAGCGGCGGCGGCATCGCCGCCTGCTTCTCCGACAGCGCGCAGCGCCCTTTCGAGGCGCGCTAGACCCTCCTCGAGCGCGGGGCGCTCGAGCGAGAAGGTGATGCGGAAGGTGCCCGTCTTGGGGTGGTGATAGTTGAATCCAGGGGTCAATGCGACGCCGTGGTCGAGGAACTGGGGAGCATGTCGCAGCGCGAGAAGGGGTCAGCAAGGGGAAAAAGAAGATAGCGCGCGCTCGCACGCTCGCTCACCTTGGCCCAGAGCGCCGTCTCGCTCTCCTCACAGTTGAGCTTTGTCCCGTCGAGCGTCGTAGGAAGGAAGGGTGCAAGGTCGACAAGCATAAAGTGCCCGGCGTTGCTGGGCGTGTACGCGATGCCCATGCGCATGCACCACGCCTTGCATGTCTCGTACGCGTCGGACAGACGCTGCCGGTTCGTCTCGATGAACCACGGCAGGAAGGCGTCGTCGTGCAGCAGTGCGCTCCACAGTGCGTCCGCCGCGGAGCTGACCATGGCAAGCTTGGCGGTCGCCTTCATGGCGCGGATCAGGGAGCTGTTCAGGCGCGCCGTGCATCGGGAGGGAGGGAGGAAAGCGGGTGAGCAAGGTGCAAATTGCAGACGGAGGCTGCGTCGCTCACTCGTTATGCTGGCACACGAGCGTGCCTACACGTAGGCCGTTGCTCGTAAAGTCCTTCGACGCGCTGCTAACGATGACGATGCGCGCCGGGTCGACGCCGGCGTCGTTCTTCCAATCGATGGACAACGCAGAGATAAAGGGCGCAGGCGCAGAGTTGTCGCTCGTCGGGAAGACGGACAGCGCGTAGATCTCATCGACGACGAGGAACAGGTTGTTCTTTTCGCAGAAGCGTCCCTGCATTGCGCCAGAATGGGGAGGGGAACATGTCGTTCGACGTTAGAGCAGCCAACGCAAAGAATAGAAGGGAGAGAGACCTGCGGGTGCGGGTGGGAAGGACGCAAGACGCACATACTCGAGCATGGCCTCACGGTCGTAGCAGCGTCCGACCGGGTTGCACGGTTGGTTGAGCAGGACGGCGCGTACGCGCGTGCCATTGCGCGCGGCGGCATCGAGCGCGGACTGGAAGCCTCTCAGCGCGGTGGGGCCCTCGAAGGAGCCGCGCTCGGCGCCATCGCCCATGTCCGAGTAGACGGGCAGGCAGCGGACGTTGGCACGCGTGGCGAGGTCCGCGTCGAAGCCGTTGTAGTACGGTGCAGCGGCGAGGAAGGCGTCGCCAGCATCGGCGAGGTGCTCGGCGAGCTGGTCAAGCAGGCTGCCGCAGCCGGGTGCGGTGATAATGTGTTCCGGGCGCACCGGCTCATGCGGGCTCCAATAGTCCGAATTGTACAGCTTGCAGATCGCCGCGAAAAGCCGTGTTGAGCCGAACAGCGAGCTCCCGCTGCGCGACGGTGTTTGTTTTTTTGCGTAAGCGCACGCGGACCAAAACAAACAAAGCCCAAGGTGAATGAAGAAAATTTCTGCGCTCACTAGGTCAGATCCTCGGGAACGAGCTGGAGGTGGGAGTTGAAGTACCGTAGAAGGTCGTCGGACATGAGTGAGTTGTTGGCGATGCCCATGTTGACGAAACGGCCTTTGCGCGTCACCGGGTTGTACGGGTTCTGCAGCAGGTCTTCGAAGATCGACCCTGCGAGCAGTAGCAGGTGCGTCATAGGGAGAGAAGAGGGTGGTGTGCTACCCGTCAGCAACTCTCTCTGTCTACCGGCCGTCTCGACTATAGACATGGACACGCACAGAACGGAGTTACGGTAGCAGCATGGACTGCGCCGCGCGTGGACAACGTCGGAGGCATGGTTTCTTTTTCCTGTTTCCTTTTCCCGTTCCCTTTGCTGGAGCCGAATGCGAGCTGTAGAAGAATCCCTGATGCGACTCTTCCGCGATGATCAAGAGGTGATGATGGGGTTGCGATGCAGGTCAGCTGCAGGAGGAGACTGAGAACAGCAGAGATGCGCTATACGGG